GGTCAGCGTGTCAGGATGCTTCTCGCCGAGCTCCTTCTTTCTCGTTTCCACCACTTGCACTCCCAGTTGCTCGGCCTCCTTCCACCGCCCCTGATTCCTGTACGTCGACGCCAGGTTCGTCATGCTGGTCAGCGTGTCAGGATGCTTCTCGCCGAGCTCCTTCTTTCTCGTTTCAATCACTTGCACTTCCAGCTGCTCAGCCTCCTTCCACCGCCCCTGGTTCCAGTACGTCGACGCCAGGTTCGCCATGCTAGTCACCGTAGAAGGATGCCTCTCGCCGAGCGTCCTCGCACGAGCTTTCATTACTTGCACTTCCAGTTGCTCGGCCTCCTTCCACCGCCCTTTAAGTTTCCTTGCTAATCCTACCATCGCCATACTACTTAGCGTCTCCTCGTGCTCTTTCCCTAGAAGCTTTGTCCTCACTGCCACAGACAATCCAGACATCTCCTCTGCCTCATTCCCCCTTCCTTGTCGCCAAGCGTACCATGCTGCCTTGTACAGCAGCTTAGCCCATTCTTTTCGTGCACCTTCGCTTTCAGGTTGCTGCATGACTGCTAACTTTGCGTGCGGAAAAAGCTCTCGACATCTCTCCCAGTTTTCATACTCCCCTATCGGAAATGCCCTGCAGAGATTCGTAATAAATGCCGCCTTCCACCGCTCAGCTTTCCCCTGGCCCTCCAGCCATTTCTGGGTAGCTAGCTGCACTAACCTATGCATGTCAAACGTGTCTGTATCTCTAGTTATGGAGATAAAGGAGTAGTCTCTTAGCGTAAGAATGTCATCTTCTAACCTGTCCTTAACTTCTTGAGCGTTGTCATCCGGATCATTCCCTTCTATATTATTATTATTATTATTATTATTATCACCATCATCACATTTATTTCCTATGTTATCCTGGTGGCAGAGTAATGCTTTGTGGATGCCCTGTCGGTTGAAGAAGCTCATAAGTGACAGCAGATCGGCCGCTGATTGTCTTGTACTGCGTATGTGGTTAAACGATATCTGCCATGTTACAATAATAGAATTCTTGGCTTCTTCATCTCTTCGAAGATGGCCTGCTTCCTGGTCCAGCAGGGCTGTCTTTCTCGTGTCGCTCCTGCGAAACTCGTCCAGGTACTGCCGCACCGAACACCTGGGAGCCCGCTGATGGATATATGCCGCCGCCTGGACAAGGGCGAGTGGCATGAACTCGAGCGCCGCCGCCAGCTCGGCAATACCGTCCTTTTCTATCTCCCCTCCCAGTTTCCTGTGAAGAAGCTCCTGCGCGCTTGCATCGTGCATCGGCTCAACTGGTATGATATCGCAGCTCTCCACCAGCTGCAACGCCACGCTTTTTGTTCGGGATGTCACCAAAACAGAGCCGTAGCTGCTGGGAGGCAAATACTTCGACAGGTGCCACTGAGGGGCGCTGTCTTTAGTCGGCTGGGCACTCTGGTCCCGGTTCAAGGGTCGAGAAAGAGCAGCAGCACCATCAGCATTGTCGAGGACCAGCAGCCACTTTCTGTTCCTCTCGTTGCGGAGCCAGTTGTGGACCAGCTTGAACAAATCTGCTTGTGGGTCGTTCCGGCCAGCCAGCTTGACCCTATCCGCGATGTCCCGGAAGCTTTGCTCGACGCGGGCCGTGTTGCTGGCATGTACCCAGAACACCCATGTGTCTGGTGATGCCACCACGGTGCGATAGCAGTGCTCGATGGCGAGCTGCGACTTCCCCACGCCGCCCAGGCCTACCAGCGCTATGCGCGATGCTGGCGCGGAGCATCTCTCGCGTATCTGATCGAGCAGCGTCCCACGGTTGACGAAGTCTGGGTCGCGGCGAAAGGGGATGGTGCAGGAGGGGTTTGGAGGGGTCTCTGGTCTTGCTGTGGGGAGAAGACGCCATTAGCCCACCCTACAAGCAGTAGAATCGCCAACGGTGACTTGCCATAGTAGTAGTAGTATTTGTTGTTTGTCTGCGTGCCTGTCTGACGTCAGTACGAGATTGACCATCTATGGACTCCGCAAGGACCCACCTACCGACGATGTGCGCATGCCCCGATGCATCGCCGAGCACCACCCCGCGGTTGTCGGAAATAGCTGTGAAAGCCTTTGCGCCCGTAGTGAGTATCGGTGCGTGGTCAACCATTGCCACCGGGAGCCGTCGTACACTCTAGGAGCGAGAAGTTATACTAAAACTATCCCTCGCAAACAATATCCAGCGAAGCGTAGGCGTCGCCGTGTTAGCAAGTGCGGCTGAGCTGGGCATGCATTTCTCCCGCTTATGCGGATCCGTAGCACTGATTGGTCTTTTATTTTGTGTTACCACCCCTGTCTCTCCTCCTCCCAAATCATTGGTCATTTATGCCCCCATTTACACAGGCAGCGCACAACCGCTCACCACCACTCGTAACAACACTCCGCTTCCCAGACTATCTACTCTTTCTGCTGAAGCTTTACTAGAATGGATGTCTCTCAGAGCCTTAAACAAGTGAAGGAAATCCCTTTTGGAAGAGTGCTTCGAATATGTTCCCATTGCGAGTGTGGTATTTACTCTGCTTGAATGATGCGCCCAATAGCCGCAAGCACATTGTAACGCAGGTGGTAAATGATCAGCCATTTTCTGTTCTTTAATTTCTTTTCTAGAGCTCCAGGATGGGAAATTTGCTCATGCTTCGCCGAGACAAACAATCGGACAGCCAGTGTTCCCCTGATTATCCCCAAGCCCGTGCTATTGGAAGAGATATAAGTCGTGCTCAATAGTTTATTTCATGGATTCGTATAGAACTAGGTCTTTGTATGTGCCGTTACGCTTTTGCTTGAACCTAAGACGAATATGGAGTGCCAGTCTGTCCAGTACAAAGATCCGTACCGGTACTAGTTAAGTTTGTGAAAGCAAGAAAAAAAAAAAGTCGGCAAATTACTTCTATCGCATTGATTAGGATAACCAGTTCCAAAGATTGAAGAAATGCCGCTTCTCAGAGAGGCTGAACCATTGACTTCTCAAGATGGTCTTTCACGCCATTTTCAGATATACCCCGGTAAGCATCGATTACTTTCGTATCGCCTGATATCGTCCCTAGTACACGACCATTAAATCTACAGCGAGGGAGATGAAAATTCCTGCACATTGCCACGCTCTCCCTCATCGTTATTAAAGAAAAAGCCGGCTCTGATTTACCTTGATTGGCGAACGACTGGACAATCTTGCATGAGCTAAGCAGGGGTCATAGAGTAGGCGAGTCAACGGGGTATTGAGATCCAAACAAGGTGAATTGAACCAGTGTATTGTAAGGTCTAAGGAGTGAGAGAGAGCTCTGGGCTGACTATATACTGTACGAAAAAGGAGCTAGTCCTAATTAGTGAATAGCGCAGTACATGGATATAGTATCGCGTAAGACACGTGCGACAGACGATAGGGTTTGAAAAATTGTAGACCGCTATGTGTCAGCCATACCGGCCTGCCATAATATAGGCCTGCTGGTCTTGTCCTTTTCCTATTCTTTTATGTAATGCAGTAACTCACTGAAACTGTTTGGAAGACCTCTTGTGTTACGTTCCTCTATGTCGGAGTCAAAGGGTGCTCCTTTTACGGTTAGGGGATCAATAAAACTATCATTTCTAACTTCCTTTCAGTAGTTAGCTCTATGCCTCTGTCATCCTTCGCTGTAGGTTAGCGGTATATATGTTTGGGAAGTGAATAGAACACCACATGCAACATCCTCTTCGCGTTTTGCCACTCTCCTTGCGGCCGATGACATGCACTCGTCCACAGTAAAGAAAGATGTAGGCTTTCCCTGAAGGCGTAGGTAGCAATTCCTATCTTCAATACGAAATCTTTTAGTGATTGCTGGTTGTGGAGCGACAATCCCTCTTTGGGCAAGAAATTGACAGATCCGGGAGCATTCAGCCCTTCAAGGGCCCCGATATGAGTAAACCTCCTGCTTTTCTTAAATACCAGTTTCGTTGAAAATTCCACTGTCTCTATCTGGAGTGCTTACTGAAACATGGGATAGATAAGCTTAATATCTCGCCGCTCTCGCCGCATTCTGGGAACAGCGAAACATGGGGTTAATGGCTTCTGCCCTTCTTTGATTATCGATGCAACAAGAATGGTGTAAGATAGAGTCATCAATTATGAAAGGAAGGTCCCCCGGGTAGAATAAGATTCTTTGCCTCTATCAACGCCAGTCTGGCATGGTTATTACAATATCATCTTCTGTACAATCTAGCTAGACCATTTCACAACGCACAGCGACTGGAGCCGCAATAAGCCACGGCATATCCCCCTAGTTGATGGTGCCACCTCTTATGAAGCGCTTGCTTTCGTCCTTCGTCTATAAAAAGGCCTTGGTTTCGACCCGAGGCGGAGCTCCCCGCAGCCTCCCTAAGCACATGGTGGCGGAAACATTTCTGAAATTACAGCATTTATAGGCGGGGAATGACAACCTGGGCATCGGCAGAACTATTTTCGGACATGTGTCAGCCAAAAGTTCTTGACGTACTTAACACTGTCGAATTTTCTTTGCATCCTTAAGCTTACCTTAGTTGCTCCTGGTAAGTTGGTTACAGTGCCTTCATACTCCACACATTTAACCATCGCTTCTTTAGTGACTGGCGCAAGGCGTTCAATAACCAATTGCTCAATACACTGACTTGAGTTTATTACATCCAAGCATGCGTATTCGGTCTTGGGGCATTTGTCCTGGACTGCTTCGGTGTTCACGCTTACGAATGCGAAGCATAGGAGAAGCAGGTCGATCCCGAAGCGCATTGTTGTTAAGTCTGGTTCTTCGTCTTTGAGGATAGATTCTCCAAAACCGAGGGCAACAAATTCACGAGGTTACCTACCTTATATATATCTTCCTCACGCAGCCCAATCAACTCCGGGGATCCGTACCCTATACTCTCCAGTTCGTAAATTAGTGATATTGGAATAATCTGGAGGTCTCACATTCCGCCCCACTTAGCACTTAACACTCTACTGGTGCCCCACATTATGTGGTTGCTAGATCAATATATCTTAGGCTGAAATATCTGCGATCTGTTGATTACTAATGGGAATATATTAATAGAGGAAAATAGCTCGCTTTTCTATCTCGCCCAAGTCACCCAGAACGTAAGCGGCCCAATCTTTGCATACCTATCTGTTGCAACTGCATCGGCAGTAGATGATGCTCGATTTTGTTGAGTTCTCAATGCTTTCTCGGTGTCAATAATAGGGTCGGTATTAGGCTCGCTAAAGTATTCAATCTGTACTAGATCCTTCTAATATCCGCAGGAACCCTTATCTAGGGAACCATATGATGATCTGCATCCTCTAACCATCCTAGGCGCATCGGTCTTCCGCCTTCGAGTATTTAATCTCGGAGTGTTCATATCGATTATCTTAGCATTTGAGACACTCGCATAAGACTTATTAAAAGGACCAACACGGTCTTCGCTCTCACAAATGGACTCCTACGCTCGTTATTCTTTTTTGATGCTGATCTTTATTATTCGCTGAAATCAAAGTACAATTCAGCGAGACAAGATGAAGTGGACTACACTCCTCGCCCTAGCGCTCGCTGCACCTAGCAGAGCATTAGTCCGATTCCATTGCTCGCAGCTAGTTACTCAAAGACTTGACCCTTTGATTAGCCCGGGTTTGATTCCATCTACCCACGTCCATCAAATCGTCGGCGGTGTTCGTAGAAAGGCCCTTATTGTTATGTTAATCCTAACAGCTATTAACAGGACTCCTTTAATGCTTCTATGGATCTCAAAAAGGATATGCCAGGCGAATCAACCTGCACTAGTTGCCAGTTCAGTGATGACTTCTCTAACTACTGGACTGCGGTCCTCTATTTTCGCGCACAGAACGGTAGTTACAAGCGCGTTCCTCAACTCGGCAATAATCAATTCAGAAATGCCAACGGTGGCTTGACGGTCTACTATATGCAGGATGCCATTTACACCCCGGAACAGAAGTCGAAGGTCACGTCCTTCCAGCCGGTAAGTTGCTAGAATAGACGCCCTCCTGAGGCATTCCGATTCTAGACATTAATAGAAAATAGGGTTTCCGAATGTTTATTGGAAATGTTCTTGCCAGGACATTAGAAGAAGCTTCCCGCTTCCGTCAATTAACCTACACCTGCTTAGACACCTTTGTCACTCGCTCCCCAGAGACTATTAGTTTTCCCAACCGCCGTTGCAAAGAGGGTATCATGACCTCTCTCCGCTTTCCAACCTGTTGGGACGGCAAGAACCTTGATAGCCCTGACCATATGGCTCATATGAGCTATCCTGAGACCGGAACCTTCGAGAGTGGTGGACCCTGCCCATCAACGCATCCAGTACGTACCGCCCAAGTTATGTTCGAGGTTGTCTGGGACACAAAGCCATTTAACAACCTTGACTGGCCTAAGGATGGAAGCAATCCCTTCGTCTGGTCGTTCGGTGATGCGACTGGTTATGCCAACCACGCTGATTACGTTTTTGGTTGGAAGGACAATTCCTTGCAGAAAATCCTGGATACTCCTTGCCATTTCACCACCAACTGCTCCGAGTCCGGTGCCAAGATGCAATCAATTGACGCTATGAACAAGTGTACAAAAAAACCGGTAGTTAACGAGGATATTGATGGATGTAAGTTAGACGTATTTCTTTCCCATTTTTGTCATATCGTACTTGATTTATCGCGCCACTTGCTGACCACCCACCTTCGTTTTTTTAGGGCTCCCAACTCTCCCCGGAGGATTCCACGCTCAATACTCTCGCGCTTAATTCTTCGGGTGAAAATAATTCAAAAATTTGACAGAAGTGGCATGTAAACTGTAGGGAATAGATTACAAGGGGGGATAGGTGGTATGCACAGGCTTCTTGGAGTCATATACCAACATATGATGCTAGCCCCCAACCGTAGGCAGTTCGCTTGGGTAGTTACCTGGGTCGGTACCGTGTATAGAACTCAGAGGAGGTCTCCAGGACGACAGCAGAGCGCCAGCAGGATAATAGTTAGCAATTCAGCCAGTGAAGGCTTTCCCCCACAATCTACCCCAGCAATACTCTCGATGCCAACCATTTGCCCCTAAAATTCTTAGAAAAAGATGTCCATAAAAGACTGCGTAAGTTTTATAATTGTTTCTCTTGCTGTTACGAACCTTTACCCAGCCTAACACTGTACTTTAATAATATCTTTGAGCCGTTTTCAATTAAGATGTCTTAGGAAATGCCTTTCTAGTAGCATTGTCTATTTGGAAATCTGTTACACTCTTTGTCCAAGTTGCTATTAACTTGTTTGGTCTACTAGAGTCTAGTATATCAATCTACTTGTAGTTTTAAGTAGGATATTTAAAGCTTATTGTCACGGTTATGTTACAGCTATCTAACCCCTGCGTACCGTAGGCTTGGCACGGGGTGTATAGGCTCCTCGGCCTCAGTACCTCTGCCTCTGACCCTAAGGTTTACTCTCGTGCTTCCTGCTTGATACCTCTTACACTTATTCTAATACGCTTGTATTGTTTTAACGTATTTTACAACCGAGCGGTCCACACAAGTAAATAGTCTACTCTAACTAAATTTTAGCATCTTATTCTTTAATTAGTAATGCGTCTACTAATTAACTTTTAACATAACGTACTTCATGGGCGAGTCGCTCACACACCCGAGTCGCTCACTTTTGCCAAGACCCCACCCTAACAAACTCTATTATGGCCTATAACAACCCGCTCTAGCACTATATAGTACAGTACAGCCTAGAATATTATTTAGATACTACTTCTGCTTCTTGCTTACATGTTTGCGTGTTATGCCTAGTCTAATTACACTGTCTGCAGCGCCTTTAGGATAGCTTACCTACTTTAGCTTGCACTTGCTTTTTTGCCTTCTTCCTATTACTGCGCGCCCTAAACTCCTTTAAAGCTATTAAGTGTAGGCCTTTCTAAATTATTAAGGTCTTTTCTGCCTTAATTTACTTTTTTTTATATAATTTATATTATGTAGCAGCCTTATTAGCTACTTAAAGCTTAGTAATTTTCTATTACACTAACACTAGCTTATGCGTAATTATTACTACCTCTTTTAAAACTTTCTTAAACACCTTAACTATAAAAGTTAGTAAACTATTTATATGCTTTTAAATTTTTATTTTTATAAGCATTAATTATAACCTAAGTTCTAAAGTATTACTTAGGGTTTACAACTACTAGGGCTTGTTGTATATAGGTAGTAGTAGTAATAAAGTGCGTAACTTTATATTAAGGCCTATTATAACTTATTATAAGTTAAAAGGAACTAATCTAGCGCCTTAAAACCCTTTTTAGATATTACTAAAAGTAATTATAGCATTATAGGCTGCTTTAAAGCATAGTAAGAACTTTATTTTTATAATATAAGTAATTTAGTTATATATAAAGTTTTTAGCTTAGCGCTTATATACTTTTTTTAAAAAAGTAAAACAACTTACATTAAGTAGCTGTAAAAAGTGTAATAAGTAAAAAAGTATGTAGATAGTAATAATTTTATTATCTTTATAGTATTACTAAAAATAAAGTAAGTTATAGCTTTTATAGCTGTTAATAACTAGTAGATAGTAGCTACTAACAGTACGCTTTTTTATATACACATTAAAGTGCTTTAACTAGTCTAGACTAAGCTAATTAGTAGTCTAGCTGCGCTTAAAGATTATAATAACCTAATTCTAAAGTAGATTTTTTTTCTTATACTAGTTTAAAAAGTAGTTGCTACCCTAAAAAATAATAAAAGGCAGAATAGCCTACTTTTTAGCATTAATGCCCTAAATAGCTGTTGTCTACTTCTAGTTACCTAGCTAGACTGCTTTTAGCTGTCCTTATCTCTCTAACCCTGTAATAACTACTCTAGTAGATATCTAGCCTATTATAAACCCTGTTTTATTAAAGTTGTATATGTTATTATCTTAGATGCTATACTTAGCTTTAATATTCTTTATAAAGTTAAACTAGCCTTAAATTACTATAAGATCTTTATAAAAAGCTCTTTTATAGTTATACTTATACTTAAACTTTACTTTAAGCTTTAAGTAACACTTAATAAACATATTAAGCTAGTTTATGCTAATATAGCCTATATTATACTTAGCGCGTAAAGAATTCGCTATATTAGCTATAGCTGCTAGCTAGAGGGGAAATCCTTGCGCATTTAGCTTAAGTATGTGCTAAATAATTACCTGCTTTTTATTATTATCTAGCTTCTATAAGTTAGCTATATAATTAGCTTAAAAAGGTTGTCTAGTGTGTTAGTTACTTATTGTCTTTTAAAAGACTCTGTAGATAGCTGCAGCATGTTAGTTAAAAAGTGTTACATTTTATTTAAGAGCCTAAAGCGTAAGCTGCATTTAATATTCCTTTAACACATTTAAGTAGTGTTATTAGAAATACATTAGTGTAAGAAAAGTAGTGTAGTGGGGTCTTAGTAAAAGTAAGCAACTTAGGTGTGTAAGCAACTCGCCCATGAAGTACGTTACTAATTAAAAAGGTTAAATACTTTTAGCTTTTTAGGTAACTTAAAAAAGCTAAATTTTAAGTATTTAAAATATAATAATAATTTATAAAGTCTTTAAAGCTATACTTAGAAACATAAATGAAAACTTTTATAATATAACTATAACATATTCTACTACTAAGCTAGCTACACTAAGCTAGTGTTACAATTCGCCTTAGCCTTAGCCGCTTGCAGCTATATTAGACTAGAATAGACAAGAAACAATCAGCTAGATACAACAAAGCATAGAGTAAAGAAGTAGCGTGTATATAAGCAGTAACAAATCTCAGCATTAAAGAGCAGCAATTTGTTAATTTGTTAAAGTCTTCTACCTAGATCCTAACTATTTAAAGTTTAAATAAACTACGTTAGATAAGAGTAGTTTTGTAACAATTCGCATGAATCATTCCATCTTGGGTTGTCTGACGAACTGATATCCGAAGGTTCCTTGTATCTGCTCTAACCCTGCTCTAACCCCTGCTGTACCCATATTCCCCTAAGTATTTAGTCGCACCTTGTCAGATTGAAGCACTGTTTCTGGGCTTCCTGAGATGAATGATGGGTTTGGATATGATGTATGGGATGATTGATTGATTTGTATTGATCGTGTTCATTTATCGATCCTTTTTCTGCTCTACTCGTGTTGCTCGGCTTTTTGTTTTGCCGATCCGAGTCCCTCGCGCACTTGCCCTATGCGCGACCAGCTTGCAACATGCTGCAATTTGCTGCAAAATGCTGCAATTTGCTGCAAAATGCTGCAAAATGCTGCAAAATGCTGCAACATGCTGCAATTTGCAGCAACATACTGTTCGAGCTTATTGCTCGTACTATGTAGCAGCTTTCGTCAAGCGTTCCTCCTGTCTTGACAGTAGGTGCGCATATCTGACACACCTCCCCCCTTAGCTAGCTTAATAGTTTTCTAATATCCTTTGTACAAGGCCTATAGGTGTTAATAGAATTCCTAGATTTCTAAGTCCCCATGCACTCCCATATGCCTGTGAGTGGATTCACACCGCATTCAGACCTGTTGTCTTGCCTGTGCTGTGAACTACAAGTTTAGCCTGTTATTAGTATATTACACATCTATTATTTTAACAGCTAGCTAACTTAAAACCTATACAAAATCCTACTTACTAAGTGTAAGAGGTATTAAGCAGGAAGCACAATGCATAGAGAGAGAATGCAGGATAAGAGGGTGTAACAAGAGTAAACCTTAGAGTTAGAGGTACAGAGGCTAATAAGCTTATATACTCTATGCTAAGCTTTTAGAGTACTAAGAAATTAGATAGCTGTATTATAACTATAATATAGCCTTTTTTAAAGCTTGTTTTAAGATCTAGAAAGGAATAGCTAGTGCTAAATTTTATATATAAAAAAGTAGTGTAACTAGCTTTATTAAAAACTATCTAGAAAAAAAAAGTACATAGCTAGCTATAAAGCTAAAAATTTTTTAAATTAAACACTAGCTAAAGTATTAGCGTAGACTTGTAGTAGGACCTATATAGGTTATACTTAGGCAGTATCTATCTTTAGTAACTAAACTTTAGAAAACTTTAGTAAAAGAAAACCATGTTAGAAGAAGTGTAACTATTTGCTTTAAAATATTATTACTAGCACTATAGCGCTACACTGCTATAGCTACTAGTATAAGATGTTTTTCTTTTATTAAGCTAAGCCTAATAGACTTTTAAAAGCTAGATAAAGTAAATAACGTATTTTACAAGCAAGTAGGCTATATAAGTAAATAGTCTACGCTAATAAAATTTTAGCACCTTGTATTTTACTTAACAATACTGTCTAAATAAACTACGTTAGATAAGAGCAGTTCAGCCTGTCTTTATGTATATTATACACCTTCATTTTGACAATGCCTCAGGCTCTCCCTAGAGACCCCTCAGCCCGGCCTTGGGCACATGACATCCCGTCACGTGCTCTAATACATATATATATATATATATCCTCTCTCGGACCCCTGAGTCTCCTCAAGGATTCGTCTATCAATACTGTCCTGTGCCCCCTTTTGCGCTTCATGTTTCCTGGACACAGTGCTCTCACAATAGTGTTAGTTGCGCTAAGAGATTCTGTCTACCTTAGTGATTTTTCATAGTTTATGTTACTATAGATACTTATTTTTATTTATTTACTTATACTTTTACTTTATTTACACTAGATAAGGATATCTGCTTAGAAGATGGAATGTAGTTGTAACAAGGGTATTAGATAACCCTAAGGGTGCCCTAGAAGATAGTTATAGTAGGCAGATACAGCACTACTACAACAAGGAATGGCGCCTACTAAACATCACTAAAAAGCTAGCGCCACAGATATTGCCTTAGATAAGAGCCTTGCTCTCTGTAGACAGAGGGCAGAATCCAGTCTTAACGCTCCCTTAGTGCTTGCTACGCCACTATTAGATTTCCCCCTTTTTACATGATTACATCTGCTCACTCCACACGATTTGGAACTCTGATAAGACATCGGAATGGCGCGAGAGCCTTTCGCTTCTTTGGGAGAATGATGCAAAAGGCGCTACTGATGGAGACTGGTGAGCCTAGGGCCTGCTTCTCCTAGCCATCAAGAACCATCTCGGGTTCTATGTGCCATGAAAATCTGCTGTAGAAAGCCTTGGCAGCTCTACTCGTCGGAGGTGCCAATGACAGGCCGAGAAGCAAGAGCGCGCAGGTGAACAAAGCCTTGAATGTTGGCACGTCACTCAGGATTTGTATGAGACAGAATTTGCATTAATCGGCTGAACGCACACACATTACATAAAAAATGATAAGAAAACACGATACAAGTCACCGCATGGAGAACTCCGCTGCAGGCTAATCCCTGCTTCTCGGACACCTAAGCCTCAAAAGCCCTCCCGCGCTTCATGGGGCGGTGCTCCGTGGTCATGCCCGGGAGATACTTGGCCCCTGTTGACAAGTCAGCATCCGCGATATTCGGTATCAAGGTGTCTCTAATCAGTGAACTTACATCCATCGATCTTCTCGCCGACGAAGTCCTTCACAGTGCACTTGTTAGCATCAGCCATCGCCTGCTTCTTGATGGAGCCACAGCCGTCATAGAAGCATTCGGACTTGTCCATGGCGCGCTGCAGAGCGTCGCCCTTCCAGCCGAACATATAATCGGCGTGTGTGCCGGCCGCATTACCCTCGAAGCTCCACAGGAAGGGATTCCCGTCCTTCGCGGGATCCCAAAGGCTGTTGAACGGTGTCGTGTCCCATGTGATTTCAAAGGTTACCCTTTAATCCTTGGGTTAGCTTATACACGTTTCGGAGAAGTGATGTGGGCGTCCGAAGGGTTGAGGTTTTGGGGGCATGGTGGGAGCGCCCAGAGACTTAAGGGTTTTGTACAAGCTTGGGGAACCCGTTCAAGGGGATAGATATGCTTTGGGATGACTTACTGCGGGACTCGAACTGGGTGGGAGTCGGGGCATTTTGGAGCATTGTTGAAGTACTCAGAGTTGACGGTGTTGTACATATGAGACTGATGATCCGGGCTATCGAGGTCCTTGCCATTCCAGCAGCTAGGTTCCAGGGTTAGCGTGCATATTTGGAGTTGATTGGAAGACGTAACTCACGGAGGGAAGTGATGCGTCGTGAAGATACCGCCGTTGCACTTGGTGGTGGGAAACTGGGAAACCAGGGTACCGCGGTTTCCGCCCTGGATGCATTGGTAACTCAGACCAGCATGAGGTTTTCCGGTTTGAGTTGGGCTGCCAACCGTCATACGGAAGCCCTGTAGATTAATACATGTCAGAATCTCAAGCAGTCTTAGGTATGGTACGGGATGATAGAATTACCGGTGGGAATGTCTTTACGGGCTGTTGCTTGAGGTTGTCCTTCGACAGATCAAACTGGGTATAGTAGATAGTTAGACCACCCTGGGCGCCGTTCGAACCTCCGAGGAGGGGCTGAACGGGAGCAGGCATAACCCTATGGTAGGAGCCGTTCTTAGGATCGCGGAAGTACATGTGAGCAACCCAGTAGTTCGAGAAGTCCTCTGCCATCTGGCAAGTAGTGCAGGTGGCCCTCGAGGCGACGTCACCTTCCCTAAACATCTAGTCAACAGATGTAATCGATCAGGATAGCTCCCTCAAACTTCGCAGACGTACATTGTGGAGTTGAACGCATTGCCTCCCACGATCATGTGAAGATGAGCAGACGGGATAGACCCAGGCTGAACAGCCGGATCAAGACGCTGAGTGGTCAAGGTTGAGCATGGGAAGCGAAGACCGGCCTGGGTCGACGCGATGAATACGGCGATAAGCTTGAGGGATGTAGTAAGTGACTTCATCTTAGCGGCGTGTCGTGCTTGCGGCACTGAGTTATGTCAAGAGGGAGCGAAGCAAGCAGAAGCAAGCCAGGCAGAGAGGTGCACGACTTGTCCGCTCGACTCTTATAACTTTGAGTTGAGAGCATAGATGCACACGGCACTTGATATTTCGCTACCGGCAGTTGTTGTCTCCTCCCGCTCGCCGGCCCAGTGCAATGGACGACAGAAAATAAACTTGATCGTCGATATTCGTATCGACAGTAAGGTTGCGGAGAGAGTAATAGACTGGCCACGGTCTAGCTAATAGGATGCAATGTTATATATATCATATTTGTGCTGGCAGGGTATCAGTTACACAGAATAAACAAATGAATTGCCCGTTAGTGCTTGGTGATTGCTTGGTTGCCGGCAAATATCGTTCGCAAATTCTGCCCCTCATTGGCTCCTAAAATTGATAGAACTATCTTCTAAAGTGCTGCAGATCTCGGGATTGACAATGATGAATCCTAACTAGTAGCCGTGTGTGCCCCATGTGACGACTGCTTTCATCTTTCTTCCTTTGATTACTAAGCATTGATTACAAGCCATATCTCTCTTCTCTCCTTTATATAGCTTCCCTTCCTAGGTGCCATTCTCTCCGAAGACGAAGGTGAATGGTTCAAAGGCGTGAAAATATAGTCTCACATTCAGATGGATCAAAAAGATTAATTCACAAGCTCTATCTAACTCCAAGAGCCGAATTCTAGCTCCACTTGGTAGTGTTTCAAGCGTAATACTAGCATATTATTTCTATCCTCAATTAAAGTCACTTCTATAAATCTCTGAACTCTACTTTGCACGAGGTCGTTCTTCCGTGATGGGACTACCTCCCAACGATTCCTTGATCCCATTAACCCCCCTCCCACACACCTTCCCCGAAATCCGATCCTCCTCCTCAACCAACACCCCCATCACTTCCACCGTCCACTCCTGCATCTTCCCATTTGCCGGCAAATACGGTCTCCGTGGCCAGAACGTCTTCGGATCATTCAGTGCCAATTTTTTGCCCACAAAATAGCCCGCCCCAAACTTCGTCAAGGCAAGGGACTTCTTACACGCCCACTCCGCATTCGCAACCACCTCCTGCAACCTCATTGCTTCCTCTTTCCTTCCTTCAACCCAAAGATCGTAAATCCGTGCAGTGGACCGCGGAAACACGTTTGCGAGACCCGTGACGCAACCTACGCCACCTGCTTCAAGTGTGGGAAAGAGGAAGTCTGATGAGCCGCCATAGACGGAGAATTGGGCAGGAGTGAAGATGGAGGTGAGACGAACGGCTTTACCCACATTACCGCAAGTGAGCTTTACTGCGACAATGTTGGGGTGTGAGGCTAGGGTTGAGAGGTCGTCGGAGTTAAGGTCGATGCCAGATGTTACGCCGGGGAACTACGGGTGCGTTAGGGTTGCATTAAAAAGAGGAGGGATAGTTGTAGAACCGGAAACCTACATTATAAATCACTACCGGAAGCGGACTCTCGTCCGCCACATCCCTATAAAACCCATACAATGCCTCCTCACCCACACTTTTTGCCCAAAAGCTCGGCGGCAACAGTAAGCCAAAACTTGCCCCCGCCTCCGTCGCGTCCTTCGCCAACTGAATACTCTCATTTGTACTCTGTCCCGAAATCCCCGCTACAATAGGATACTCCGGTAGTCCTAAGTCCGTGACTGCTTTACGTACAGTCCGGAGGACGTCCATTTTCTCAGATGAGGAAAGTAGTACGGCTTCGCCGTTTGTGCCTTGGTACACGAGTCCGTGGAGTCCTCCTTTTACGAGATATTGGCAGTGCTTGTACATGGCGTCGAGATCGATTTCTTGGGTTTTAGTGGGCTTGTAGAGTGAGATTACGGGACAGTAGACACCCGGAGGGAGCATCTTGCCTTTTTCCGGTATATTTGATTTCGTGATCGGCATTTTGGATGAGGGTTGGAGAGTTCGAAAGGAGTGTTGGAATGGATGAGATGCTGAATTATGAATTTATGACGGACAAATCGGACTCTCAATTTCTCAAATATTGAGACTGCAGCGGAGGAACTTGGAAGCTGCACAAGAGTGTAGCATGTCAAGCGGGAAAACTGAATACTTTCTTCAGGATTGTGTCAAGGGACACGTGTGCTACCTTTAACCCGCCTGCACCCAGTCTCAGCGCGTTCCTCCATTCCGAGCAACATTTTCCGCCCGGAAGCTTCTCCCATGGCATTTCCCAAGCCTCGTGCTCGCTCACATGTTCGACGAGACATGAGTGTTTAGACGGAAAGAGGGGCAAACGGTGAGAAGACCGATGCAGGGGTTCGAAATGACTCGCGGTACCTGTCGGATGTGGGGTGAATGATTCGGTGGCTAAAGCTTAGCTTGGAATTGCAAATGTGGCTGGGCTGCCGGAAGATTGCCCTTGCATATTTTCTCAGCAATCCCTAGATCCGTAGAGGTGGACAGTTATATCGTTGATAAAATCTTCAATAGAAATGGTTCTTATTTAGTTACAGCATGATCTCTACACCCGCCAACGATCTACAACCTCAAAAAGTGTCTCCTCACTACCTACATTACCTGGGAATATGACGTAAGGTAAGCCTGGATGTTTGCAAGTAGGCTCATCACATCTCCAAAGTGGGACGCCAGCGGCTGCTTGACCAACGATCATAGCCCTCTTCATATTCAATCCCTTTGTCGCCATATCAGAGGACGTGATTCCGCCCTTCGCAATCACATACCGTGGTTTCGCTTTAAGACGTACAAGGAACGAGACAAGCGCTCTGGCAACAGTTGCGCCGATATCAAGAGAGTTTGCTTCGTCCGCACCAACGATGAGTTTGCGAGATGTCATAACAAGCACATCTTGCGGTTTTGTGAGCTCGGATTCTGCCACCGATAGGGCATGTTGCAGCTCTTGTTCGGCTTGCTCCGGGGATTCGAGGAGCTTGTTGACGTCGAGCTCGATAGCCAATAGTCGATTGCCAGATCTCTGCATTAGAGCCTCGAGCTGAGCTGTCGTTTTTGGAACGTAAGAGCCAGCGATTATGAGGCCGCCTCTTGAAGGATCGAGATGTAGTTGTTTTCCGGAGATGGGAGGGATAGGTGAGATACCGAGGCGGGCGGAGACGAATGCTGCCCCAGAGCGGAAGAGAAACTTCTTTCCCTGTGCCGACGCTTTGAGAATCCCTAAGATTATAACATCCATGTCTTCTTCAGCTGCCGAATTCGCGATGATGACGCTGCCTCTTGCGGATCCCATCAAAATCTCGCCAATCTTCTCAGCGCCGCCTGCTCGGATGTCGTTCAAATTGAGGCTCCTTACCCTCTCCCGCACAATTGTACCTTTTGACTTCTCCACGACCCAGTCTCTAAGGTCACTGTTCTTGTATCCGAATGTTGCATCCTTCGCAAATGGTGTATCGCCGGCCGGCACTAGCGTGATTCCTTCTGCTACATAATGTACGTTGTTGATAGTATATCGACCACCCTGCAAGAAGAATGGCGCAAGAATCCATGCATCGCTCTTTCCAAGAACCTCTTCCACGGCTTCTGGCTCGATCGGAAAGTGGCCCCGTAACGTGGAATCTCCTCGAAGCACCACCTCGAAAGTCTTCCCGGCCGCCGCAGCTGCCTGCTTTAGATTCTGACATATTTCAACCATGAGAGCTCGGGCGGCCGGAGGGTGTAAGGCTCGAGAATTCGTCAGGATAAAGAATCCACTTCCTGGTTTTGTGATGTTGAATTCGTTCGTTAGGGCATCGATACTCCATATCGTTAAAACGTGGATGTCATGGCACGTTTGGGTACCTGTGGGGTCGTCATCAAGCGCTACGAGAATTGGAATATTCGGGTTCGATTGAATCTCTTTCCGCGTCTGGGCTCGGAGATCGCTGGAGGATGAGGAGAGTGGTGGGAGTGATGCAAGCGTTTCTTTAAGGGGAAGAGAAGCCAGCGAGGAGGCTTCGGAGTGGTCCATTATTACAGGCATCATCATCGCTACATCGATCGTGCCTTCTGTTTAGTGAATATTGCTATTAGCTTTTAATCTATGTGGACAATTTGAACACGAAGCTCTGGCATGCTCCCGATGAAGGCATCGGTAAATCGGCAGCTTGCCGCACTTCTATCCGGGCGTCGAAAACTCCTTGGTTTTTTAACTCAGTACTCTCCAGATTTACCAGCAGCATTCCCAACCATCGAACTTGCTATCCTTGTTGAACTTTGGAATGTTAGAGATTAGGCGAAGAAGATAAACACTTCAAAGAATGGAGGTGACTGGCTCAGAGTTGCTGTAATCGGCATTACTACCTCCGGTGAGCTGCTGAAGCCATTTAAGCTTCCATGGAATACTGTACTCAATTGAGAGTGAGCTATCCAGGTCGACTCATGACGGAGAGTTGATAGATGACAGAGCTCGGTTCGATTTGAGGACCCTTCCCACTATCAACAACGTATCCTCCCGGGTCATGCCTTCCATGGTTAACTTCGCAGATTTGGCGCGGTACGCAAACAAACCGTCAGACTTGTGGCGGCTGGTCGCTAAACTCTTCATCTCGAAGCCGATAGTTATCATTCAGGGCTATTCGCGACTGTACCTAGGACTAAGCGCTTCGGCGTCACGAAATAGAATCTCTGGGGCTTCTACGGCTTAGGATGATGTTAATATCTACAAATACTGGGTTTCTCCTGTTGTTGTTGGTAGGAGCGGGTGTATACTACCTCCTATGCGTCCTTTGGCTTATGAAATTATATCCGGTGGGAGCATATGAGAACGACAGAAGAGCGAAGAGACTATGGTACGTATCAACTGAATGTTTCTTTCCTGATGAAAGCGTGTTGTGGGGCATATTAGGGACAGGATGCTTGTGGATGAGGAGCCCACGGATTCGTGGATGGGGTCGAGCATGGGGATTTGGAAAAGAAAAATTAGTTCCCGGACATATGAGAGCGTTCTATCAAATAGCCACCCAGCGAATGAATAAATATATAAGACTGTATCAGCACACTTCTTCCTCCTAGCGTAATTGATCCCTATATATTGGACAAATCCACTACATTCCCAGCACAGCTCGAGGTCTATACGCCTCTTCTAAATGCCGGCACTCTTCATCACTCATTTCTACTCCCAATGATTCCATAATCCCATCCACCCTCTCCATGCTTGTCAGCCCCACAATCGGACAATATCCCTTTCTCATTACCCACGCAGTCGCCACACTAGCCATACTCACCCCCTTCCTCTTTGCCACTTCTTCCACCCTCCGCACAATCTCCAACTTCGCATCCCCAAACCACGCCCTTGATTTTGCATCCGCCTCATTCCGTTCTGAAGTCTCCCCCACCGATTTCGCTAACAGCCCCCTCGCAAGCGGCGACCACGGGATAACACCAATTCCTTCAGAAGCGCAGAACGGCAACATCTCCCTTTCTTCCTCACGATATAATAGATTATAAAACGGCTGCATTGACGTAAATCCCGTCCAACCATGCATTTTGGCGGTATACTGAAGTCGCGCGAATTCCCACGTGTGCATCGAGCTTGCGCCTATATAGTGGACCTTCCCTATACACACGAGATCGTGCAGCGCACGCATAATTTCCTCGGGGGAAGTCTCGCGGTCGAGGCGGTGCAGTTGTAAGACATCAATATATGTTGTATTCAAACGGGCGAGAGACGCATCTACCGCATCAAAAATATGCTTGCGACTCAACCCCATTTGATTCACCAACTCCTTTGAATACGAATCCGGTGGCTGTGGTCGCGACTCGTCGTCCATGACTGGATAATACAGTTTCGATAAAATAACGACTTTGCTACGTGGGATGCCGAACTGTTGGAGCGCTTTTCCGAGGATTATCTCGCTGCGTCCGTTGCTATATGTGTTGGCTGTGTCCCAGGTGTTGATACCAAGGTCGTAGGCCCGCTTTATGACGGCTAAGGAGGAGGCTTCGTCGAGGGTCCAGGGCGAGCCTTCCCAGTTGGGAGACCCGAAGGCCATGCCACCGAGGATTATTCGGGAGATTTTGAGGCCGGAGTGACCTAGGCGGTTATATTGCATCTTAGGGATAGAGGGCGATGGGGGATTGTTTGTGTTGGAGATTGTTGATTGGGTTAGGTGACTTGTATTAGAGGCCATGATAGATGCTGCGAATGGTTGAAAGAAATATGAAGACTCATAATTGAGGTATAGTGTTCAGTTATGGGGATTATTAGTATCTAGGGGTCCAACGAGCAACGCCTCTCACGCTCCCTGTGTATGGCGGATAAAAACAAAGACCAGGAGAATAGAAACTATCCGAAAAAAGTCTTCAATAGTAAACTCGCCGGTCACCCATCATTCTCTCCTTTAAAACCCCAACTATCCCCTTCCAAGCTCTAACCCGTGAAAACATGGTGAAGTTGCTCGGACCCAACACCGCAAATTGCAACCCTTTTAGCGCAAACTCTCGTCCTTGCAGACCATCGGGAATCCCGCCTTTCTCTCCGATATGACATCACCACCACGCTACCGGCATCTCGACCGGCCAAACCCCCACTTCTCACGGCATTCCAACCTAGGCGGGAGGGAAAGATGCACGCAACATGGTTTAGCCAGACGACTCCACCTCCGAACCACGGAAGCACTTCCGACCGGAATCTAACGCTCGCAACGACGCCCTCGGTTGTGAATACCTGCCATTCGATCGGCTTACTATTATAATATCGATACACTTATATACGGGACGTACTTAGAAATGCCCTGGTATTTTATGGAACGACAACCTGAAGCGGCGAGGAAAGAGTATCCGGGAGCATCAACACCGATGGCGGGTACCTCAGACGCAATAATGGGGTCTATGCCCGAATTCAATGCTTCGAAGCGATATATTCTGATTACAGGAGCCGGCGGGTTTATTGGCCAGGAACTTACTATCGCTTTGCTATCTGCTGCACCTGATATCGAGCTCGTGCTGGCCGATGTGTTTAAACCTCCACTCCCACTTTCAAAAAACAACACCACAAATACAGAGACGGACACCTCCCGCGTCCACTGCATCGAAGCCGACCTAACTAGACCCCCCATCGTTGCCACCCTTCTCAACAGCAAAAAATGGCATGCCTGCTACCTCCTCCACGGCATAATGTCCAGTGGCTCCGAAACAAACCTCGAATTCGGACTTGCAGTCAACATCGACTCTCACCGTTTAATCCTCGACTTTCTCCGCCGACACCAACCCGGCGTCATTGTTGTATTCCCTTCATCACTTGCAGTTTACGGCCCGCCGGAAGGGACTGAGGTTGTTTCGGAACGAACGATTGCGTTACCGCAGTCAAGCTATGGAGCCGAGAAATTGGTGATTGAGACGCTCGTGAATGATTATTCGCGCAGAGGGTTGATTGATGGGAGGGTGGTGCGGTTGCCAACGGTGATTGTGAGACCGGGGAGGCCGTCAGCGGCAGCGTCGAGTTTTGCTTCCAGTATAGTGCGTGAGCCACTACGCGGCGAGAAGAGCCTGCTTCCTGTAAGTCGGAGCCTGGAGATGTGGGTTTGTTCGCCGGAAACCGTGGTTAGGAATTTAGTGGCTGTGAAAGATGTGCCGAAAGACAGGTTTGGGAGAAATAAGGGTCGGGTTGTGAATTTACCGGGACAGACAGTGAAAGTGGGGGAGATTTTGGAGGCGCTAGAAGAGGTTGGGGGAAAGGAGGCGGTGGGGTTGGTGGAGGAGAAGGTGGATCCGAGGGTGGAGGATATTGTTGCGAGCTGGCCATCTAGGTTTGATGTCTCTGTGGCAAAGGGGTTGGGGATGGTGGAGGATGTTAGTTTGACAGAAGTGGTGCAGAGATTTGCCAGGAGATTGAAACGGTAGCTTTATTGGGCGTGCCAAAAGTCTGATGATTGTTGGCCTAAAATGATGCACGGCATGTTGAAAACGACGATAATTTTAGATAGATGTCTTGATTAGTTTGTTGCAATTCTTAATCCAGGCAAGGACCGAAACTCTTGTTTATGTACAAGGTAAGACACAGCCACACGGTATACATCGATGCCCTCTAAGCCGCCCAAGCAGAATCCTCTCCTTCTAAACCCTCCTATTTATCTATGCCTTCTCATTTTACTCCTTTTCAGAGACGTGTGGAGCGGGCACCGTGTTCAATCCATTCTGAATATCGCCTCTAGAATTAGCGACTCCTTCACGCCATGACAAGACTCGCCAAGGACCTAAACCCTGAAAGAAAGGAGTGCAGCGGAAGGCCACGGAAATACTCAAGCTTTAGTTCCGTTGATACTAAGAGGATTTTCATCCTCAAAATCCAGTAAAATTGAAATCAAAATTACCCGAATCAAAATGCAAAAAGGAGCTCGTAGCTATATTCAAATCCTCCTCAAACCCATTCACTACTGCATTCCCCCCACTCCCATAAAGCCCCTCACCGTTCGGCATCAGCAGCATTGACGTCGCAGCCTGACTCTGATTCATATAATGCAGACCCGATGGTGCCACGCCATTCCCATTCCTGTTCGCATCCGGAAGCGGAGGACTACGGATCGCCGATGGACTCTTGATCTTCGATGCCACCATTTTTTCCAACCCGTCGGCCATCAGATGTACGAGGTGCCATTTGCCTACGGCAGTTGACCGAAACTGTTGGACGGCTTTAGTCGCGAGGTCGAAGACTACGGCATCTTCGATGAATTGCCCGGAGTGTTGGGCGGCGACTTTAAGGAGGAAGACGCAAGCGAACGCTATCATGGAGTGGATGTAGTGTGGGATGCCTACGAGTCCCTCGCGAATGTCATAGTCGGTAAGTAGCATTTCGATGATCGATGTTGCGGAGGATACAGCGGCGACAGCGCTTTCTTGGAAGAACGCTGGCACAGGCGCGCCTTTGAGTCCCCGAAAGACGTGGGAATGAAGGTGTAGCTTGGCAAGGTGATGATGTAGAATGACGCCCTTTGTAGGAAATTCTCCAATGAATTGGTGAAGTTCTGTCTATGTTAGCTTTAACACGTTGGACGAACCGAATGTTCGAGACATACTTTGTAGTTCTGTGGTCCAGTATCCCATCCACTGGTCGATTTGCCGACTGAAGTTCGTTAACTGAGGGGCAAATGCCCGTGGGACGGGCTCTCCGGTGTCAGGACCAAATAGTTCGCGGACGTTGCTCATTATTATCAGCAATGCCATCTGACTTACGAGTCGTTTATCCGACTCGGTAAAAACTGAAGACTTCATCAACTCCTCCCAACCTGAAATTGAGAAATCTTCACGGACAATGGATGGACGTCCGTAGAGAATAGACAGATGGTGATCGCATATGTAAAGAATATACCATATTCTCATGCAATCCATAGCTTCTTCACTGTTCTCCGCTATCACGCGGTGGAAGTTGTTGTTAAGATTTACTTCTGTCGCTCGGCGAATTGCATATCCAGACAAAGTCCAAGAAACATCGTGAAGCCAATACGATCCGATACACATCGCGCGTAAGTGGTCACGATCTATTCGCCGATCGAACATCGATGCTGCCATTAGCCGGCGAAATTCCCGGCTACAGACTCCGTATAGATGGTTGCTCATTGGATCATGGAGAGCTGCAACAGTACAGATACATGCGGTTAAAATTGGAGAACCTCGTCGGAGGCTCTCTAGATTTCGATACTTGCTACCACCGATCATATACATGAAATGGTCGATTCGGTTGAAGTAAAGGTTAACGAGTCTTTCTGCATCTTCAATGCTAAGTAGGCCATTCGAAATGAAGTCGTTCACGGGATGGTTTGGCGTGCTAATTGGGGGAGGTTGCGGTTCATCTGCAGTATCATCTGAGCGCAGAGCCCTGAGTCGTGTAATTTGGTAGAGGGATTCGATTGGGACATGGGGAAGCGCATCATCCCTTGGAGATACTCGAGGAGAATTGTCACAGGAAGGTCCGGGGAATTCTCTGTCCATGGCTTCATCGTGGGGTGAATGTTCTAAGGCACCCGAATTGGATGTTTGCAAAGGGGGTAGTGGCGGGAGAGACAGTCTCCCAAGGACGTCTTGCAATGCGGAGTGAATATGATCAAGGTCACCAATGACTGTGGTTTTCCATCTATCTTCTATTAGCATTGGTGAGGGAATGACAGGCATAAATACAATCAAGTGGAGCGAGGGAAGGAGTACATTATGCCAACGCATACCACGGAACACAACGCTATGCGTCAATCCCCTAGCCCTGCTGGAAGAATGAGCGAGATGGTCTATATAATGTAGTCTGCTGTTATATAAACAGATACTATCTCGATCTACTGCATCACGAACACGCACCAGGGCATTTGGAGAGATCGCAGGAGCGAGTTAGGATGAAACAGGGCCATCAAGGAAAGGCCCTCTGGATTACTTACCGTGAGCGCTCTTCAATGAGCGTTTGGAGGCTTTTATTCAATACGCATGACAGATTCCGTTCCGTACACCGTTTACACGGCGGTCCGCTGTCATCCATGATGCACTTAATCTATGGGAGTGTTAGTCATACTTGCAGACTCGAACGTGACAGCGCTGGAACAGGCCTTTTGCTTTCGACATGCCGCGCATGCTTTGACCCGCCTGGAGATATGCGCCGCCGATAGTTCGGAAGCGGGATCGGGGTGCCTCGGGCGCGCCGATGGAGAGTCGGAGGCATGGGAAGCATTGGGAGCATTGGAAGCCGAACCTTCGTGGATATTTGCTTGCGACCAAGTTCTCTTCGACATCGTGGCGTTGGAGGGTGCTGGGGTGGAGTTGCAAACACTGATTTTCCGAGGCTCGACTAATGGGAGGCATCGGCCCGAATGTCAACGGGGGTTCATGTCAACTGGGAGTCCTCGCCTCAGTCAGAAGCGGGGAATGGTTGGTGGAGAAGGTTTAGCGGACAGTTAATTCGGAAATTTTCATTGGTCAAACCACGTCATGAAGCCTATTCTTGAGGCATGCCTACTTGGTGAGGCCGAGAAGAAGTAGCTTTGCAGGACTTGCTTAGAGCAATGGGAGAAGCTTCTTGCTGAATAAAGCCTTGACGACGACGAGGTTTGAAGTCAGGCTCTCGAAGCCGAGGCTGAAGCGAGACGAAACAGGGTCATGTGACATATTCATCATCAGGTTCATGAATTCGGGTGGCTTAGCGAAGGGGTTTAAAGCCAATCATTAGACAAGTGAATTGAAAGAGAATTCTGATACTTTTCTAAAGCGTATTGCTTGCGAGACACCTCCATGAGAGCAAGACTTTACAGCTCAGCTGACCTCGCGATTAACACACACAAGCCTTGGACTCCTTCGGACCGTGTCGCACCCCATCTCGACGCAACACTCCCTTCAAGCAACACTCTCGCCATCATCATGGAAGATAGTCGTACCCCAATTCGGCCTGTTGAACCTCCTCCCTTCCGTTTTTTCCAGCTGATTGAGGCTCGCAATCTCCGCCTCACTCAACTGAAAAATGCGCAGGTTCGCCTTGATCCTTTCCTCGGTCACGCTCTTCGGGATCACGCTCCACCCGCGACTCACGCCCCACGATAGCAGAACCTGCGCCGAAGTGCCTTCCTTGTCCTCTGCAATCTTTAACACGACTGGATGCGTGTGAAGGGTCGATCCCTTGCCGCCCAGCGGTCCGAATGCCGTCTGGTGCATACCGTGTTCTTTACAATACCGGTTAAGTTTGTCTTGGGGTAATAGTGGATGCAATTCCGTCTGGTTGACGGCTGGAATGACCTTTGCCGTCTTCAGGAGCCTTGCAAGGTTCACAGTGGAGAAGTTTGCAACGCCAATGGCTTTCGCTAGACCTGAGTCGATCAGCTTCTCCATCTCCACCCACGTCTTCGCGAAGTCCCAGTCCGATGCATGCACCGTCCGGTCTTCCTTTCCGAAGTTCGGTGCGCTTGCATCGTTTGGAGGCAGGGATACTGGCCAATGCATGAGGTACAGGTCGACATACTCCAGCTGGAGGTCTGCGAGCGATTTCCGGAGAGCCGCTTCAACTTGCGAATGCTGCGACGACCAGAGCTTAGTGGTGATGAAAAGGTCTGAACGTGGGATGGAAGTCTCTTCTAGGACTTCTGTGAGTGCCTGGCCAATCTCCTTCTCGTTCCAATCTTGGCGTATTCCGTCAGAATCCTCCCCAGAGTGCTCGCGGGTTACTCACATAATGGCGCACAGTCCTAAAGACTATGTCAGCAACATCTCGAGAAGTGTTCAGTTCATACTCACTAGATGTCGATAGCCAGCCTTGACGGCGGTCTGAACCGCTCTTCCTGCCTCTATAGCTTCTCAGAACCCGAGGATGCCCCTTTCAATTGTATCACATACCTCCCGGCGCCGCTTGCCATGTTCCGAACCCAACTGCCGGAATCCTTGCCCCCGTATTAAGCTGGAACGATTTGTTATGGGAGTCCATGTTTTGTTGAAGTGGCCTGATTTGATCCTGACTGCCTTTACCTGTACGGACAGACGTTATATCTGACCATCGACTATACTTACTAAGGATTAAGGGGACGTCACCGGCGAGAAGCCCGAGTGGGAACCTGATTAGCGCTTTTTGCCGTTCCGTAGGGCTGAATGCCGGAGTGCTCATGCATTGTCTCCATAGCCTTCGTGGACGACGACACTTCCGCAGACGGACTTCTAGACGTCAAAGTTCGTTCTCAAGAGTCCCTCAACCCGTTCGCGGATCATACGCCTTCACGAAAACATGTCGTGATTAACATCAAATTAGTCTCAACTAGCAGTATCTAGGTATCACCACGGCAGCCACGGATCAGCACATTCCTTGAGCCAACATATTCCCCAATTCCAGTCCATATCATGAATTAAATCCTTGTAGTGTCGTTTCTCACTCCTCAGTGCACATCAGAACACTCAAACCCGTTCAACCTGCACATTTCCACCCATTTTCTCGTCATTTGCAACTTTGTTATCCATATGGACAAGATCTCCAACATCGTGTCGAACCTTCTCCTCTTCCGTTGGATATGCACGCTTGTACATGGTCCAGATAGAGTGCTGGAAGAGATCATCCATCGACTCGATCGATCGCCCTTTCATCTCCGGCATGCAGAAGTAGACGAAGACGACGCCGATGTACGTCAGGACAGCATAGAGTAAGAATGTACCCCAGCCTAAGTGTGTCATCATAGATGGAGTGGCCTTGGTGATGCCAAAATCCACGATCCAGTTGACGAAGAAACACCAGCCCATACAGAAGGATCGGATACGTGATGGAAAGATCTCTGCAGCCACGACATAGCATGCCACACTGTGTCCAAACGACCAGCCAAAGGCGTAGATGTAAATCCAGATAATACCAACGATTCCACCAGCCTCAGTTCCGCCTCCTTGATTTGGATTGCCGAAGCGAACATAAAGCGCAATGTAGAGCATCGAGGTGGCTTGGAGGGTAGCACCGATCAGCAATGGAACCCGGCGTCCCACACGATCGACGATGAACCCGACGTAGATAATGGTTGTCGCGAGCTTAACCACACCGTACACGCCAGTCGTGAGCAAGGCTTGCGATCCGCCCTTGACTCCGATCATGGTGAAAATTTCAGGGGCGAAATAGTTCAGGCTGTCTGTCCCCGTGAACTTGTGGAACAGGAAGAGCATGGTAGCGAGGAAGAAACGGCGGGTATTCGAGCGGACGTAGATGATGTCCTTGATAACGAGCCAGTAGTTGCGACCTTGGGGTCGTTAGCCTCCTGCAACAATTCCTTCCCCTATTAGTTGAGCGGACTCACCGACGGCAGTTTCTTGTTCCTGGTCGACCTGCGCACAGACTTCCATGTATTCTTGTTGGAGATATGGATGCGTCTCGGGTAGTTTGCGCAACTTCATCAAATTCGCTAATCCCTTCTCTCGATTTCCTTTGGCAATCAATGCGCGTGGCGTCTCTACTACAAAAGGCAACATGAGGAACATCAAGGCCCCTGGAATGATCTGGATGCCTAGCGATAGTTTCCATTGCAGGTTGTCAGTCACAGCGACGTTCCTCCACTTCGACACGCCGTAGTTGACCCAGAATGCCAAAGACAAGGCAGTAATGATCATGAGATTATAAAGGCAGGTCATAGATCCACGAATCGACTTTGGTGAGTTCTCTGAGAGGAACTGAGGGGCCCCCGCAGACATGCTGCCGATAGCCATTCCAGCAAGAAAACGTCCGGCGTAGAAGATGTTAAGGTTTGCGAATTCCTGGAACGTGCAGCCAAGGAGGTATATGAAGGCGTACAGCATCATTGACCATTTCCGGCCCAAGAAATCGGCAAATGGAGCGCTGATAAGGGCTCCTGCGGCTCCTCCAGCAGCCACTGTTCAGGATATATTAGCAAATGCGTTAGGAAATGAACGGTGCTCAACCAATTAGGACTTACTCAATGCAGCAATGTTGCCAGCTCGTCGGTCTGCATCATCCTCACTCATCTTGTCGAGACCGAAAGCGCGCTTAAATGTCGGTAATGTGAGAACGCCACCGATATTCCCTTGATCGAAACCGTAGGAGCAGCCTGCGAAAGCAATGGTCGTCGCAAGATAAGCCAGACGGCCATTGAAGATCGAGCGAGGGTCATTTTTCCATTCAGGAGAAGCCCAAATAGATGTTCCTCCACCCATGCTTTTCAAGATGAACAACTACCTAGGAAAGATATTCGGAAAACTTCGCAAGTCAAGACTCGATGTAAAATCTGGGAGTTTCGACTGAAAGAAACAGCCCGTGCGGAACCAAGCTTCAAATTCACGACTTCTATCTGACCAGCTTTATATCACCCAGCCAAGTATTGTTTTCCAGCCTGGTTATCGTTAGCAGAATGCCGACCCCAGACGCTCCATGGATTCCCTAGTTCCCCGCATTTTCGCTTCGCCGGAGAGAAGTGCGAGGTCGGTGGGAAGAGATCGGAAGACCTCCGACAAACCACATGCCAAGCTAAAAGTGCCTAGATTATTGTCGTGTAGTGATGCACAGTTAGGGAAGGAATAGCGAGGCCTTGTAGAGAATCTTGGTGAGTCAAGGAAGAGCGCAAAGAGGCTTATATGTTACCTTTGCTGAGTCGTGAAGGTGATCTAAGGTACAATTGACTACTCCCCCATTTCATGGAACCTTTTCCCTTCTACTATACTTTATAAATTTTGATAAATTTCGGTCTTGATTCTCAGCAGCATTCCCTCAACTATCAAAATCCCAACAGCCAAAAATGACGAACTTCAACACCGACCTAACCACCCACTCAGAGTCTCCTTACTTCGCCTCAAACTTCCTCCCAGCATCCACAGTCCAAGTCCACGCATCCAACCTCCTCCAATTCCCAAATGGAGACCTCTTATGCGCCTGGTTTGGCGGCTCCCAAGAAGGTCTCTCCGACATCTGCATCTACCTATCCCGTATGAGCAAAGGTTCGCGGACATGGACGCACCCGCTCCAAATCTCCAACGACCCAGATCGAAGTGAACAAAACCCCGTGTTATTCCTTAATCCCCAGACTCGGGATTTGTGGATTTTGTATACCGCACAACCGGCCGGAAACCAGGATAAAGCGGTTGTAAGATATCGGGTTTCGAAAGATGAGGGACAGAGTTGGGGAGATGCTAGGCTGTTGTTTGAGGATGAGGGATTGTTTATTAGACAGCCGATGGTGGTACTAGGAGATGGAACGTGGGTGCTTCCGGCTTGGTATTGTCGCTCGCCGAAAGGATATCGGTGGGTTGGGAACGATGATGTTTCTGTAATTAAGTACACACATGATTGCGGGAAAACTTGGCTTGAAAAGGAGGTCCCGGAATCGCTGGGATGTGTGCATATGAGTGTTAAAGCATTAGCTGGTGAGGGGGGGTTTGTTGCTTTTTTTAGATCGAGGTGTGAGTTTCATTAACCTCCTAAGTTATGTTACAGACGCAATGCTGATAGAATGTGGGAAGGGGCGGATAACATCTACACGTCTTCCTCGCCCGATTGCCTTTCCTGGTCCCCACCAAAGCGAACCAGCCTTCCAAACCCTAACTCCGGAATCTGTTGCGATGTCCTGTCATCCGGCCATTTCATCCTCGTCTACAACGACTCGTCCTACCAATCCGGCCAGGCGAAACGCGAAGGCTTGTATGATGATATCACGCCTACGGACGATACGAGGGCGAATCAACCCACAGTGGATGGGATTGGAAAGAAAGAGGCGATTTGGGGGGTCCCAAGGAAAGCGCTAACGGTAGCAGTTAGTAGGGGTGCAGGCGGGGGTGGGGGTTGGGGAGTGAAGAAGGTTTTGCAGGAGGGGGAGGGGGAGTGTTTGACGAATGATTCGAAGGGGGAGAGGAATAAAGAGTTGAGTTATCCGAGTATTTGGGTGGAGAGGGGGGATGGAGGGAGGGATGTAGTCAATGTGGCGTTTACGTTTTGGAGGCAAAGGATTCGGTTCTGTAGGTTTGAGGTGGAATGGGTGGAGAGTTAGAAGTTTACTATGAGTTCGGTGTCGAGGCTGTCGCACGTGATGCTCTGTCCATGAACCCGCTAGTCACGTTTAGGAATAGTCATTCCTTTATTAGGACTAGCTCTCATTTAGACGTAACTCATTGATCCCGAAGCTCTCTCACTCCTCAAACTTTGCACTATCGCTCAATTCACCCAGTCTGGTTCTCACCACCAAATTGAGCTTTCCACTATCCTCTATCTACCCTTGCGGTAGAGGCTACTCGCCAATCGCTCTTTAATTGTGATAAAGTCAGAGAAAGGAATTCGAGGCTCGCACCCCCCCGACCACCATCACTCAACACCATAGTTGCTAGCGAAACCAACTTTCCCTCAAATGCGGCTGCCGCAAAGGTTTCCCCTCGTAGCGAACAAAGGTCTTGGCACCCACTAAATTAAAGCGCCTCTCTTTTAGGCACGTGACTCCCTATAGTACACAATGGTACTTCTCCGTCACAGTTTAATGCCACAACTTTTAACTGGACTAGGTAGGCCATCTACTTGTTAACGTGGGTGAGCTAATCGCTGCGTTTGGACAGCACCGAAGAGAAGCGAGACCCGGCAGAACATAATTTCGTAACGTTTGGACCTGCAGCACTCAGCTGCGCCTGCCTTCCAGCCTCGTTGAACTGATGATGGACCGCAACACTTTCTACAACCCTGGGGCGGCCTCGCTGCTCTGCCGGTTCATCAGGGAACCACTGCTATTTCACCACTATATCTCACCCTTCCGCTAACCATCGCATTATGGATAGCCTCTCAGGGGCAGCAAGCGTGATCGCTATACTCGACCTATCCGCCAAAATCATGTCACTCTGCTTCCAGTACTCAGTCGCCTTCAAGGGAAAGTTAGAGACATTAAGGCCGTCCTAGAGAAGTTCAGCCAGCTATTTGATGGACGATACAAAGCAAAGCTTCCTACCACCCATGAGTTGGTAGACTCGCTCAAGCAATGTTTCCAGGAGCTACAAGAGTTGAAGGCAGAGCTGGAGCCTAGGAAGACTCGCAAGGCTATAAGCCGGCTCAGAGTTCGAGCTCTTCCGTGGCCATTTACAAGCAGGCACGTAGAAAAGATTATTTCTAGTTTAGAACGATACAAGCGGACCTTCGCACTAGCTTTGCAGGTTGATCACCTGTAAGCTCTAAATCCACTGCGTCCTGTTATAGAGACATATTGTAATCAACTATACAGGGGTCTTATGCTTGACCTTGATCAAAAGATAGACCTTGCGACCCAGGACACACATAATATCCATCAAAAGCTCAACTTAGCTAAACTACCCGCAGCTAAAGGAGCTTCCTTTACCTCACATATGGAGGAACACAACTCAAGATGTCTCCCAAACACCCGCACGGAGTTGCTTCATTACATTAGAGAATGGGCGAAGGACAAGAATAGCAAACCTATATCATGGCCAAGTGGCATAGCTGGCACAGGAAAGCCTACAATCGCACGAACCGTCGCCCAGTTATTTCCCGACCAAGGCCAGCTAGGAGCAAGCTGCATTAATGGGAGAACAATCACCAGCAGTGTAGCACCCGAGTTGCAGTATGCTTGTCATTACTAGGTACGCCATCTAGAGAAGAGCCAGCACCACTTCAATGATGGAGATTCAGTGCATATATTCCTTCAGGAGCATTTCCCTGAGTGCTGTTGCTTTCTCGCCGGACGGCCAGCTCGTCGCGTCGGCCTCTAACGACAAGACTATACGGCTCTGAGATGCAACGACGGGTTCGTGCCTTAGAGAACTTGAAGGCCATTCTGACTAGGTCAGGGGTCTTGCTGCAGCACGCTCAAGAGCCATTCCGCCCAGTCAATGCCATTGTGCTCTCTCCAGACGGCCAGCTAGTCACGTCGGCCTCCAACGACAAGACGGTCGGCTCTGGGATGCCGTGACGGGGTCGTGCCGCAGCACGATTGAGGGCCACTCTAACTGCGTCAGCGCCGTTGCTTTCTCGCCGGATGGTCAGCTGGCGCGTCGGCATCCAACGACAAAACGGTACGGTTCTGGGATGTAGTGACGGGGTCTTGTAGCAGTATGCTCAAGGGTCATTCCACCCGGATCAGCGCCCTCTCCTTTTCACCGGATGGCAAACGTCTTCATACATGTAGAGAAGAAATTCCTTAGTTCTTACATTCTAAAGGAACCCCTTCATCTTACAGAGAAGAGTCAACTAATTTGTTTGTTCAAGATCAGCGGATACTATGCAACCGGCAGCCTTTGTTATGACTTCCTTCTGAGTATCGACCGACGGGTGCAGTAGCAGTGTGTAAGGACTTGGTCTGCCTGGGACACTCATCTGGCCGTGCTACCTTTCTTAAAACAATGCTAACATAGCACTGCTGTATGCTCTTTTCGTTCTTGAAATATATTTGTCATCATATCTATTTCATAGAGGTATCTAGTAGCGGGAAGTATATATCTTACGAGATTCCCTCTTGAATATTCTGGACATTAAGTACCTGTGTTCAAACGCTTAGTTATACAAACAAAGAGGTCCACACTAATAGAGAGGCCAGTGGACGCTCTCCTAGTATAGAGTTGTAAGATTAAACTGTTAGTTATGGAGAGGCACCCTCTTGAACGATAGCAAAGCACATGCCTAAAGAGGCAGCGCTTTATTCGATATGTACCGTAGGTGTCAAGATTTTAAGTGTTTCTTGGTCTTGCAGAATAGCTCTTGCTCTTCGTCAACATTACAGACACATGTGGGATCAAATTGCGCAGGTGCGCATTGGTTCGTATTCCCTTCCTCATGTCATTAGAACTTCTTTGGAGGTTGAATGACACATTTGTCGTTGGCAATGAAGCCTGAAGGGAGCATACGCCACAGCGGGGGGGGCGTGGAGTGGCGTTGACCCCGCAGCACCAGGAGGGGAGGAATTTGTTGCCGTAGGAGTCACTTGCGACTGTACTTCGTAAGATAACGCGTCCTCCATGAGCTACGAAATCCTAATGCTCTCCAAACAAGACAACCTAAAGTACCAAATGACCTATCTTAGGTAATCAACGTGGCACAGGTGTTTCACCAGATAGGGGCCGAAAACTTCAAACCTGCCGTTTCAGCTCGTGCTATGCCTCCTCCTTGGACGCCTTACGTCGGCATCTAAATGCTCTCTCTCTAAACTCTTAGTTTCTTTCTTTATCGCGAGGTAATAATCTATGGCTTCGAATGATCAATACCAACTACATCCGTTGAGATATGGTGGGCAAAACTATCCACAGCTGCCACCAGGACAGGATCTGAACAACAGCTATACGCAAGGCTATCCTCAGTATCCACTATATCAAAGCCAATACCCACATTCTCCTCAAGATTATTCACCAGCTCCAGTTGAGCTTCCAGGAAATGGACCTCCGATCGCAGAACTGCCAGCCCCCTTGCCGCCTGCACCTCCTACGTCGACTCCCGCAGAACAGCTGAGTGAAGATGAGAAGCTTGCGCATAAAATCCAACAGATGGAATTAGCTGAAGCGCGAGCCAGGTCTAATAGCAACTTAAGCCAACCTCAACAGCGGTATTCCTACCAAGGCGTGGTGCAGCCTGCTCTAGTGCCTTCGAGTATTGAGTCGTATCCGGAAGTGGTTACATGGCCGCATTCGTATGGACAGTCGTCGCCGGTTCAGTATGGTCAGCAGCCTTATCCTCAAGCATCTCAGCCTCATATTTCGCCTCAGCCAAGCCCATATCTAGGTCATCCATCCCCTCAAATAACTCAATCGCCAAGACCGACCTCAGTATACGACATGACATCTGCTACGCATATAGATCCGAGCTCTTTAGCCGCCTATCTCGAAACCCACCGGCAAGTGCCCTACCCACCTCAATGGGTGCTTCCACCCATCACCTCTACCTTCTATGGGTCATTTGTCTTCGCACCAAAAACAGATTGGCTCGATACTCTCGAATCTTTTAGTTGGAGCACCGTCCGTTTCTCCGAACAGGCCCGCACTCCAACACCGGCCGTCTTCAAATTCAATTTCAAATCCAGAGGAGGAAGCTTCCGCGACCCTAGGCTTTCATGGACTATGACATATCCCCCTTCCAGCGGAAAAGGCGCCTTGCAAAAGCCATCATGGACGTACAACGTCAAGCGCGACATCGACACCAACATGAAGAAAAGTGAATCGCTAACACCCTCCAAGGGGAAAGATATCATCTGCGGCTATGCCCATGGCCAAAATTACGACTCGCTGAAATTCATCGGACCAGATGCGAAATCCTACAAATGGGTCACGCATATTCCCCTCAGATCTTTGCACGGCTCCCGCTACGATACAGTCCGCCACGCGCTGTTCGTGTCTATACAACGCTACGGCAACGAAGACCCATTATATGGCCAAATTGTCGCCGACCACACGTTCTTCGACGGCCACGTCGACTACACCGAAGTCCACAAAGGCGTCATCTGTGAAGGCTGCAAGCAAGACCCTCTCGTCGGACTCCGATGGCTATGCAAGACTTGCACCGTTCAACATGACGTCTGCGACACCTGCCGTCAATCTTCCAAATCTGCCAAACAGGGGTGCAAATTCACGCTCGTTTCTCTGCCCGATGAAGCGCTGCACATCCGCTCCCCGCACGTCGATCCAGCGATGGTGGTCGCCACTCTTCAGGTTCTGAAGGACTGGGAAATGAACACGTTGAGGGAGCAGAGGAAGAAAGATCCGGTGGGTTTTGCGGCGAGTGTGGATATGGCTAGGAAGGGGGATTTAGGCAGGCTGAGTTATTGGCGGTGGACAGATTTTGAGGGGACGGGCAAGGGAGGCGGGGATGAGACGGTTGGGACGTTAGTTAGGGCTATTGAAAATGTGAAGAGTGCGGCTGAGATTTCGAGTAATCTGGGGGAGATTGGGGCGTTGGGAGGAGGGGATGGTGGTGGGGGAGGAGGAGATGGAGGTGGTGTTGGTGTTGGTGGGGATGGGGGAGGTGGAGGTGGAGGTGGAGCATAACGTTTGAAATTAGATAGAACAGGACCCAATTAGTCTTTTGAATCTTACATGCGACAATTATTTAAGAGGCCTTTTATTTCAAGTTCCTAATAATCAGATGCTTCGTGGAAAGCGGATGCTGAGTCATCTACGCGCTAGGGGCAGAAGTGAGACGCGTTTGATGAGGCTGCTTTCAATAGCCACAGCCATCCTATGTAGTACGTCATCAGCACTCTGTCGGCAAGGCCTTTTGATATTCGCAAAGAATCAATTGCACCCACAGCGCTATCTCTCCCATACGACCTCACAATGCCCGCCAAATGCACTCCCCGGAAGTCGTCGGGCTTCTCGCCGTATCAAACGTCTCTACCGAGCCGAAACTTCAACTCGCCATGACTGAAGAGAGCATGCTCCCGCCTGTCTCAAAGCTCAAAGCTCCTTCCTGTAAGCAGCCATGACGAAGCCAATTATCCTCCATATCGGCGAGCCAATCAAGTACAACCACGAGTTCTACGAGAAAGACTTCCTGTCACGATTCGACGTCATCCAAAATGAAGATCTCGATCGCGAGGCTTTCAAGAACGCATTAAGGAGTAACAAGCAAGTCACGTTTCTGTCTAGACAACTACGAATACAGTCGTTAACGGATGTCCAGGTATGGCAACATCTCCGCCGTCTTCCGCCCACACTTCCAAACCGGCGGCGAAATGGGCCAATGGGACGACGAACTGATATCCCTCCTCCCCTCCTCCGTCCGCATCTTCGCATCAGCCGGCGCGGGCTTCAACTGGGCCGACGTAGATGCGTTGGGCAAGCGGAAAATATGGTATGCGAATGGAGCAGGAGCGTCGGACGAGGCTGTATCAGACACTGGCCTCTATATGATCCTCTCCGTCTTCCGAAATTTCACGCGGGCACAACTTGCAGCACGAACAGCGGATCCAGAAGTCTTTAATGAAGCACACAAATCAATTGCGATGATATCGCAGAATCCGAAGGACCATACCCTCGGGATTGTGGGGTTGGGGAGTATCAGCAAGAAGTTGGCGTATAAGGCGAGAATGGCGCTGGGGATGGATATACACTACTATGATGTTGTCCAGGCGAGTAAGGAGGAGGAGAGGTCGCTGGGAGCCACGTTCCACGCATCGTTGGACAGCTTGTTGAAAGTTGCGGACTGCGTTTCCTTGCATACACCGCTGAACAAATATACCAAAGACCTTATCGACGCCCGCGCACTGTCGATTATGAAACCAGGATCCCGCATCATCAATACAGCACGAGGGCCTGTGTTGAACGAAGACGCGCTGGTACATGCTCTAGAGAGCGGGCATATCAGCGCTGCAGGCTTGGACGTACATTATTATGAACCTCAGGTTTCGAAGAAGTTGGCGCAGATGCCGCAAGTTACGCTGACTACGCATATCGCGGGAGGTGCGCTGAATACCCGGATTAATTTCGAGTTGAATGCCATGAAGAATATTTTGAGGGTTGTAGGCCCTGAGGGGGAGTTTACTAGAGAGGAGCCGTTGACGCCAGTTAATGCGGAAGCTTTTCACGGCGGGTAGATATTCCAAGGTTAAGGAAGGCTAACAAAGTCAACACGTGCACAGACAACTCAAGATACAGTCCTCGCGCTTCATATCTCACCTTAGGGTCCGAAATGCTATATTATATATGTGATATTGCGGTGTGACCTCGAGCTCTGAGTTGTTTGAACAGCCCATCGTGGGACAGTCGGGTTTACAAGATCCACATGGGAGGTTTGAGTGTAATGGATTGATTGGCCATACTGAATTCAAACTAGCTGCAATAGAACTGAGGTCAAGATCGGAGCATGTTTGGCTGAGTTACTCCTAATGTTATTGAATCCTTCCATCAAAATACTGAAGGCAACAAATAAAATCGCGTGTCCATCAACTCATTTGCTTGGATCGTGTGCCTGACCAAGACCATGAATATCAGCGTTCAACATGGGTAAGTCGTGGATAGCCACCTACCCACAACTTATGGGTGTACCTGACGCGCTAAGCCTGACCTAATGGACATAATCCCAATGCGGTAGTTTCAGGCGCCATGAGGGGTGAATTGAGGTACCGAAATTAGCGTTCTACGTACAAGTTAATAGCGATTTGATGGCGACTTGAACTATTCAATACACCCATTGACAGGGGAGACTAAAGACTAGTTCATAGTTGATGGGCGAGCTTGTATGGAGTTCTTTTGAACATCTCTCCCGTCTAACTCACAGCATATCGCCAAGGACTACCCATGGGTAATTTACTCGCCCATATTGAACACTAATGCGCCTCTTACGCTCTAATACAAACATACCCACGCGTCCCTTCATTTACATATCACGGCTTGCGCTGAAGATTGGGATGCGTACTACTCTAACGCGGGTGACTGTCATCTCAGTGGTAACCCCTTTAACACGCGGAAGTGGGCTATCCAGGGGCGAGATTCATGTGCGGAAATCTGCTTCTCCGCATTTCACTTTCTAAGCCATGAGCCGCTGACGCCTAGCCCCTTTCCACAAAAATATCCATTCTGCCCCTCTGGTCTTGAGTCTGTCCCTCACTTCGATCTCAATGTCATTTTTAGATGCAAGTACAGTGGTCGAGATATGGAATTGGGTCTTCAAATCACCCCACTGGTACCAGATCGTATCTCATCGCTATCGCGACTACAGTCACCATGATCTCGTTCATTGAGAGATGGCGTTACCTGAGCTGTTTCCACGACTTGTCTCAACCCTAAGCTATACGCTGGCAACAGATGCAATGGATCCGCCAGTGTTCTTCGATAACACACCGCCCCGAGGCGCGTGGCTCGTGTCGCACAGCTAAAATTTAAGCGGAAAGCCTATATATCCACGCGCATGCTGTGCCGTACATGTAGGGGCCTAGGTCGCAGGCTACCTCACGTCCCTCTCACTATCCATAGTCCATACTTCTCCCTTTCATCTCACTATCTTATTCTCCTCGCTTGCCACCACGCTCACCTTATTGCTATTGGTTTTCCCTTTTTCTTACCTAGTTTGGAGTCTCACCATTAAGGAGATCAATTACCAACGAGCTTACCCTATGAGCATTCCTCTTGTCCGCCTTCCAATTGATCCGCTCAATGTTTTCTTTCAAGTATTAGAGTCATAGGTGTAGGCTATCCTAGATCGCCTTCCCATAAAATCCTTCATACCAAAATGGACCAAGTACCCCCGGCGAGGCTGGTACTTCAAAGACAAAGCAGACACCACATTAATTTTAGGCAAGTTTTGGGCTTGGTCACACCTGCTAATATACGTGCAGCTTTCCGATCCAACAACCATCTGCGACGTAGTTTCGAGAAGGTGGGACTTTCCGAGACCGTCAAAATCCTACAGTAAGTAGATTAGACCGTTCTTTAGGTGAAATGATCCTTCCTAGAGCTACTAGAAGCCTTCGGTCCCTGCATATCGACCGCTGACAGCGACAATTGCGCTCGCCATTGCAAGGTTCTCGCCACGCCGTTTAACGAGAGTATTATGAGTCTCGTTTGGTCAGAATCACTGCAGCAAGCACAAGATATGACAAGCACAAGATATGGCAAGCTCATGCTCCGAGGAAGAGGTAAATAGTGTCTCAAAGAATGCACGCACTCTGTCACTCAGTGTGCTTGCTGCTACAGACTTTGCAAAATCTTTCAAGTTTCAATCCTTAAATAGGGAGTCTTAAATACCAGGCGACATGTCCTACCGCGATGCGCTTTAGACCACCCTTGACAATGCTGTAGCGCTCCATATTCCCCGACTGAGTATTTTTCGCTCCGGGGTTTCCCAAAGTCAATGCAGCGTATTAGAAGTGCAGCTACACATACTAGACAAAGAGATTATGTCCATGAATCAAGGAAAACAGGGCTCAGGGAGCTTAATTACTTCTCTTGTAAGCGCTGGCGATATATTTCCAAGGCTTGGAAAGAATAAAAGGCCTTTCTCTTATCGAAATCTTTGGTAACATTTTCGTTATTAGTTTCATCGCCAATTTAACGACGGCAGGCCTCTGAGGCATCTTGTTGATGCTCAGATCTTCTGGAGAAAGGTCTGAATCAAAGTACCCAAATATATTCTCTGGTTGCTCTAGTCTTGATGCGACTAAAACAGGGTTTTCAGTCGCTCTTATTAGTGAGCCGTACGGAGACATCAGTCATTGATGTCGTCTTTGTGTCCGTCGATATAGTGGAGAGTTGATTGTATGAGTCGAGCAGGTCTACCGTCATCGAGAAGTCGTGGTTCCGGTAGGGGAGTACCTAGTGAACTATTCCCGGTGTGGACGAATAGGTCGATAGATCAATCCATCGGGCTCAACAGGTGAGCAGACTGTTGACCTAGGTGAATTGAGCTCGCAGAGCTCTCCGTCAGCTAGTTGCGATACCTAAACATGTGCAGCGGTGATAATAGGTATAGCCAAAAGCTGCAAACCGGGCTTATAACTATTTCAGAGCCAGTTATAGTTGAGGGATAGTGGAGGGCTTCGTGTGGAGTTGCAAGTAGTCAATTAGGTGGTGAGAACCAAACTAGGTAGATTGAGCTGATGTAAGGTCTCCGGATCGAGAGAGAGCTCTGAGGCGAATATATATAGTAGATAAAAGGGCGCTAGCCCTTAATAGAAAACGGGTGTAAGTCAAGGACCCATATTCACCCTGATGCAGGCTCACGTGAATCAATGTCACGTGCGGCAACCACAGCTAATACCTTGGCTTTCAGTATACTCATAATCGTGGATTCTCCAGACGCCCAGACTTGGTTTTCAGAGGATGTTATTCGCAAGATCGAAGGAAAGAGTATTAATGAGTGGGAATACAATGAGCATTTTCCGAAGCTGGTGAGATGTCGTGCAATCCTCATAAGATCCACCTCTTTGGTTTCAAATTGTCTTCTAACCCCCCGGCTCGAAACTCTCCACCTATTTCCTCCAATACTGGCTCTCCTTAAAAAAGCACTGGGTCGACACAGCAGAGCCTCCACCTTGAAGACCGCACGATTACGATTACGGCTAAAGTTCCTGTATGCAGCCCTGTCCTCGCAGTCCACTGTCATCCAGACCACTGCGAGGATCCTGGGGCCTAGAAACCAGCACGTTGAATCACACCTAGAGGTGCCCAGAGTTCGGAGATAATCGTCACTCCGCCAAATGGCTCCTATCACGCATGGTCACGAGGACCGCAGAATTGCTCTGCATTGAAATTTTCGCAGGTTGAGGTTGTAGCCGTCCTAGCTTGCTTGATGAGGAGTTATCGGGTTGAAGCTGTCAGGCTAGAGGGAGAGAGTGGGGAAGACTTAACGACCTGGTTGATGAGTGTGGCCCGGCATTGTGATTTCCAGATGTTATTAAGGATGAGGGATGCGGACTGTGTTCGTTTAAGGTGTGTCAGTTTTGGCTCGTAGCAGGTTGCTTAGGAGTCGCCGGTGCGATCTTGCTGCTGTTGTTTCAGCCTACCCTATGGTGGCAAATGCACTGCTGCAATAGCGCATTTTTCTGTTATGGAGTGAAATTTCCGCGAATAGGGTATATCTACGAATATAAGTAAGAGTAATTTATTCTAGCCCTCCTCTCTCAACATAGGTTTTAGTAGGGTAAGTAAGTTAATTGTTAGAGCTAATAAAAATCCGCTACACAGGTTATTGTGCCTTGCAAGAATCTAGTTACAGTCTAAGATTAGCCTAGGTTTTAGTAAAGAGCTAAGCACACTCTCACACTAAAATCCCTATACGACTAAAAGTTTACCTATTTATTATTTCCTCTATATGGTTATAAAATCTCTTCATAATAAAGCTCTCCAGAACATTTGCGTCCGTCTTGCTCTATATGTTAAAATATACGTTCTATACAGGAAGATACTTAGTTCCTGCCTAGCTATCTACCAAGTAGAGCTTAACTTAAAGCCTTTTAAGCACTTTTAAGCTTCTAAAACTATTAAAAAAAAAGGTCGGCATTATAGGTGTATGCATTGTAACGATTCTACGAATCGTTCCATATCGGGTCGCTCGGATCCTATCCGAAGGGTCCCCGTATCGGCCCCGACCATGACTCGACCCAGTCCCCCGCAGTTACCCCTATTCCCTCATGTATTTAGTCGCACCTCGCCCCCGTAGCTAGCTCGGTAGTTTTCTGATATCCTACGTACAAGGCCTATAGGTGTCATTGGTATTCCCAGGTCTCTGAGTCCCCACGCACTCCCATATGCCTCTGAGTGGATTCATACCGCATTCGGACCCATTGTCTTGCCTGCGCCGTTACATGCACCAGGGGGAGTAGAAAGAAGATGGAAGGTTGGAAATGAGGCTGGCCGGAATTGAACATACTTCAGTACGAATTCAATATGATGTGAGAAGAGAAGACACTACATATGGACTCACTTTGCTATGGGATGCTATGGAAACTTGAGTGTGATGATTGATGATCCATCATCTAATCATTCCGTTTTTGTGTGAGGAATTGTAAAATCGTAGCACTTTGATTAATAGAATGAGCAGTCATTCTCTTCATATTTTGATGTTTACCCGTTTCCAGTCAACATGTACTATTGTCATCTTAATCGACTGCCCCCTTTTCATAAATGTTATTATAAACTCAACGAAAGAGACCTTACCGACGACTTCACCCTTCGTTCTAAAATTTCGACTCGCTATTTAACCCACGCTCGAAACCCCTTGCAACCTCCACTTCCATGTCCTACAAGGTCCAACCCATAATCCCCCCTTTCCTTAGAATCATGCATAGAGGTGCCTAATCCAGGAAAGCGAACTACACATGCGGAAATTGTGAAGAAGGCCGGTTTGTCTGGTGACAACGGGGTTGAGGCCGGGGCAGCCCTAGGATCGGCGAGAACACCGGGCTGCACCGCACAACATCGCCGTAGTTCACGGCACGACTGACATCGGAGAGTATAGCGAACGGAGCAAGTACGACCCTGGAAGAACGCCAATACACGCGAAGTGGAGTGGAATTTGCGGTGGTGGCAAGGATGGATTGATTTTTGCGACTTGGAAATAATTTTTCCGGGTAGATTGAGTTTTGTTTTCTACCTCCATCTCCTGCTTCGCGGCGCTGTTTCTCTAGTCTGTTATAGTTTGTCTAGACTCTAGGCACAACATTTCTCGCTGGCTCAGACAACATTATCCAAGTCACTGCGCTTCATTAGCTCATTTCCCCCTACCTTCATTCAGCAATATCGAAATCCTATTGTCGAAATGGAAATCCGACAATCCCTCACAGTTGATGACTTAAGATCGCACAATTCTCCTTCCGATTGCTGGATCGCTATATCGTCTAAGATATGGGACGTTACAGAGTTTCTGAACGACCACCCAGGTGGTCCTGAAGGTAATTGCTCCCCCACAGTCCTCCTTTTCTCGTATTCCGCTTCAAGTCCGCATCTGATCTCATGTCTACTAACATGATTGACGTATATTCAATATAACAGTTATCCTCCAATACGCCGGACTCGACGCAACCTCTGCCTACAACTCCATCCATGCCCCAGGAATGCTCGAAGAAACTCTCTCGACAGACAAATTCATTGGCGACCTGTTACCCTCAAACGACATACCTCCAAAATCTACAATTCTGGAAGCTGCCGCCGCAGAGTTCCGCGCTCCCCGCAAACCCTCAATCCAGCTACCTTCTCAAATTCCAATCGCCTACGAAAAACCGGGGTTACATACTCTAATCTCCGCCGCAGACTTCCAAAACGTAGCATCCAGGACCCTAACACCAAAAGCGTGGGCTTTCTATTCCTCCGCCGCAACAGACCTCGTCACACACACGCAAAACAAAGCGCTTCTTCGACGCATAATGCTCCGCCCTCGTATCCTACAGGACGTCACAACCGTTTCTACAAACCGGAAAATCTTAGGGTGCTCCTCCACGGTTCCATTCTTCATCTCCCCTGCGGCAATGGCCCGCCTCGCACATTCAGATGGAGAATTAGCGCTAGCAAGGGCCGCCGGTACAGAGGGTATTATCCAATGTATCAGCAGTAATGCATCATACCCGCTTTCCGCAATCGTGGAAGCAGGGAACGCCAGTCACGGTCAGCCTCAGAGTTTCTTCCTCCAACTCTATGTCAACGTCGATCGGTCCAAAACTGCAGACCTCCTCCGCAAAGCTGTATCCCTCGGCGTAAAAGCGGTATTTGTAACTGTTGACGCGCCCGTGCCAGGGAAGCGCGAGGCTGATGAGCGGATTGCAGCGGAGGCGGTGGCGAGTGCGATTAGTGGCGCTATGGCGAGTAATGATAAGAAAGGTGGGGGGATGGGGAGGTTGATGGCGCAGTATGTCGATAAGAGTCTTGTGTGGGCGGATATTGCTTGGATAAAGGAGGTTAGTGGCTTACCGGTTGTGCTGAAGGGCGTGCAGAGTGCGGCGGATGCAGTGATGGCAGCGGAGTATGGGTGTGAGGGGCTCATGATAAGTAACCATGGAGGACGGTCATTGGATGGGTGAGTTTTGCGGATATTTTAGTCCAGTTCTTAACTACGGGGCGAAAGGTGGTATGCTTACAACTGAGCAGTGCACAACCAAGCATTCTCGTCCTTATTGAACTCCACCGCGTCTGTCCCGCCATCTTCTACAAACTCGAAATCTATATTGACGGCGGATTCGAGCGCGGATCGGATATCCTGAAAGCTATTGCGCTTGGGGCGACGGCCGTTGGGATTGGGAGACCGTATTTGTATTCTTTGGCATATGGGGAGGAGGGCAGCGAACACCTCACACAGAGTAAGAATTCTTGGAAGAATTTTTGGTTATGTATTTGCTAACTTGGTTATAGTATTAAAAGACGAGCTAGAGACTTCGATGCGTCTGTGTGGGATTACAGATATCGATCAGGCGCATCCGGGATTGGTGAATACCCAGGATGTGGATCATCTTGTGGCAACTGGGGTTGGGCACCCATATATCCAATGGAGGCCCAAAGCGAAAATATAGCGGTTTTGAGAAATTGGGCCTAGATGCATGGGATCAAATAGAATATAATGGTTGGCCAGGAAACCCAAAGTTAAACCCCATGGCCCGTGGACATCTGGAGACTCACGTCGAACATTAAGCATTAAGTCTTTCATCTCTACCTTCTCCACAATTGAGACAGAAATCGTATCTTACTAACCCCCTCCTCAATCTCATCCCTACCTTGAACAACTCAACCCCTTGCTCTAATCCACCTGTCGCGGAAACTTCACCATATACTTCCACACATGCGTTCCCCATTTTCTCTCTGCATCCCGCTCCTCCAAGCCTTCAAGTCCCCTCGCAAACTTATCCAGATCCACCTCCAACCTCTCCTTCTCCTCAAACCCCTCATTCTCAAAACATCGTCTCCCAGCCTCCGAACTCTGCACCCAACAAAGCACTTCATCCTGATCAGCTTGGTTAGTACCCTCTCTAACCAGGGCAGTCCCTATGCCGCGGGATTGGAAGTCTAGATGAACGACGATAGCAACGATGCACATGCATTTTGTTCCCGGTGGCATAATATGCTGCATCCAGCGTTTCATAGATGCGTTTGTGAGGGTTTCGAGGCAATCAATCGAATCGTGGATAGGCCGTATAATTTCCTCTATATTAGGGAAGATGGGAAGTGGCTTTTGATGCTGCTGTTCTGGCTCTGATATCTTCACATATCGCAGCCCCTCTTATACCAACAAAATCTTGCGGTGCAGATATTTTTTACTTTCCTGAAATGTTTGCGCTGGCTAGCGCAGTTGACAAGGCCCAATATCTTTCGAATTCCAGGAGCGGGCCGGGACCACGAATGATGTGAGAAGAATGGTCCAATAGAGTGTTGCAGTGTAGGAAAGTACGATAATAACCACACGGGGTATAGACTGTGAATTCTCTTGCTAATAAGATTTCTTTGGTAGATTTCTCTCGGTTGGGTTTAAGAGTTCCACAAGTCTGATGAATGGAAGGATTTATTTCCCCATAGGACCCAGCGCATTGGAGGCTTTCACTTTGTTATATTCATGCAGCATCCACGGTTTTTATTAGAACGTAACTGTTACTGTTAGTAGTGTTTTTAAGGCGTTACTAGCAGTAATAGGGTTTTGTTCTTACAGAAGGAGTGAATTTAAACAGGCTTACAGGCAGTAACAGTTACTGCTAGGTTAATTAATAGTAAAGCTACTGTTTAGTGCAGTTACTGCAATAACTGGCGTTTCTAGACGCTCCAAAGGGCTTGATTTTAACACAATCTTGCTAAGATAGTCGCGGAGTTAACTCTAAGTGAACAAATCTCTAGCAATCTAGTTGCGTTGTAGCTGCAGAGCCTTAACTATATAAGGCAATAGCTAGTTCTAATTAATTGTAATTGTTCTTCTAGCTTTGCTAAAGCACCTCTTGCATTCACAGCTTGTAGCAGGGGTAGATAGAAAGTTAAGAGCTATCTTGTACAGCGTTAGATAGTGCTCACGCCTAATTTAATGCTACTAAGTGAGCGGATTTTTATAGATTATATTGTCTTTGGCTGCAACAAGGAGATCAGAACTACTGCCAGGAAGGAGTGATAGTTTGGAGATTCCTCCACGTCCACGCTTAACGCATTTACACTCTTACTTAAATTTAACACTAGAGAATAATGCCTTAATTATGAGCTCTAAGAGCTCCTAGAGGCAGCCCTTAACTTCTTAAGGCAATAAGAGCTTGCAAAGTGAGGCTCTAGAGTACTTAGGCAAGCAACGTTAAATGTGAAGCTAGGAGGAGCACCAGAGGCATGAGGAATTGGATTGATTGCTAAAGGAGGGCAACTACGGGTTTATATAGTACTAGGTGAACCTGTCATGTGACTTAAGGCCACCAATAGCTCTAGGCCACAGCAGGTGGTATAGCTAGGCAGCAGTAGGTCAAAGGAGTGTAGGTGGCTAGGGATTAGAGAGCTCCGTAACTGCAAACATTAAACGAGTGCTGCGAGCTTTAAGTGCTATGTGGAGTTTAGAGGACTTTTCGCATACTTATAGTGATGATGGAGGCAATATTGGAGGCAAGAAGTAGGTAAGTTAAAGAGTTAATTCGCTATTATGTACTAACAATAGATAGGATAGTTGAAAAGGTACAAAATCTAGTGTATTAGTGCGCGTTTTGACACCTCCTGTTCTACAGCAGTACTACGCGCGAAAACGTCCTCCGCGAAAGCGTTACCAAAACACTAAGAAATCAATTAGTATTGGCAGTTACTGAAGTAACTATGACCTTATTAACCGTACAGTAACGGAAGACAATTCACTTTTGCTCTAACTGCCAAGAGATTGTTACTATCAGCTATTGTATGCAAAAATCAGGGCATTTCTTAGCGTACCTCAGATCTTTTTTTCCCCCACTAAAATTATAACGTACTTCATGGGCGAGTTGCTCACACACCTAAGTTGCTTACTTTTGCTAAGACCCTACTACACTACTCTTCCTACACTAATGTATTTCTAATAACACTACTTAGATGTGTTAAAAAAACATTAAATATAGCTTATACTTTAAGCTTTTAAATAAAATATAACACTTTTTAGGTAACATGCTGCAGCTATTTATAAAGTTTTTTAAAAAATAATAAGTAACTAACACACTAAATAACTTTTCTAAGCTAATTATACAGCTAACTTATAAAAGCTAGATAATAATAAAAAGTAGGTAATTATTTAGCACATACTTAAGCTAAATGCGCAAGGATTTCCCTCTTAGCTAGCAGCTATAGCTAATATAGCTAATTCTTTACATGCTAAGCATAATATAGGCTATATTAGCATAAACTAGCTTAATATATTTATTAAGTGTTACTTAAAGCTTAAAGTAAAGTTTAAGTATAACTATAACTATAAAAAAGCTTTTTATAAAAATTTTATAGTAATTTAAAGCTAGTTTAACTTTATAAAGAATATTAAAGCTAAGTATAGCATCTAAAATAATAACACATATAACTTTAATAAGATAAAGTTTATAATAGGCTAAATATCTACTAAAGTAGTTATTATAAGTTTAGAGAGATAAGAACAGCTAAAAGTAGTCTAGCTAGGTAACTAGAAGTAGACAACAGCTATCTAGGGTATTAATGCTAAAGGGTAGGCTATTTTACTTTTTATTATTTTTTAGAGTAGCAACTACTTTTTAAACTAGTATAAAAAAAATCTACTTTAAAATTAAGTTATTGTAATCTTTAAGCGCAGCTAGACTACTAATTAGCTTAGTTTAGACTAGTTAAAGCACTTTAATGCGCATATAAAAAAGTGTACTGTTAGTAGCTACTATTTACTAGTTATTAATAGCTATAAAAGCTATAACCTACTTTATTTTTAGTAATACTTGTAAAAAACAGGGTATACACTTTGCAATTAAGAGGTGTATTAACCAACAAGGGCGTAACTGTGACATAGGAGTACAATTAGTACCCGCCCAATTCCTAAGGCGATCCTCTGCTATCTAAAGAGGGCTTCTACAACTAGCTATATACTTCTCTAGAGAGCTAGGCACAGCAGCGCTAGTAGCAACAGATCTAGTATGCCGTAGGTCTAGTTTAAAGTATTACCTGTCTAGGATGCCTAGCTTTTTAGGCGAGGTAGGCATTGTCTAGGAAGTGCAGGGTTAACGGCACAGTTCGGGAGTTGTCCAGGACTGCCTAGTGCAGTCTAGGCCAGTCTACGACAGCCTAGGAAACACCTAGATAGCTAGTTATTACAAAACTATAAAAATAATAAAATTATTACTATTTATATGCTTTTTTACTTATTACACTTTTTATAGCTACTTAATATAGGTTGTTTTACTTCTTTAAAAAAGGCATATAAGTGCTAAGCTAAAAACTTTATATATAACTAGATTACTTATATTATAAAAATAAAGTTTCTACTATGCTTTAAAGCAGCTTATTATGCTATAATTACTTTTAGTAATATCTAAGAAAAGGTTTAAAGCGCTAAATTAGTTCTTTTTAACCTATAATAAGTTATAATAGGCTTTAATATAAAGTTGCACACTCTATTACTACTACTACTTATATATAATAAGCTCTAGCAGTTGTAAACTCTAAGTAATACTTTAAAACTTAAGTTATAATTAATGCTTATAAAAATAAAAATTTAAAAGTATATAAATAGTTTACTAACTTTTATAGTTAAAGTATTTAAAAAAGTTTTAAAAAAGGCAGTAATAATTACACATAAGCTAGTGTTAGTGTAATAAAAAATTATTAAGCTTTAAGTAGCTAATAAGGCTGCTATGTAATATAAATTACATAAAAAAAAGTAAATTAAAGTAAAAAAAACTTTAATAATTTAGAAAAGCCTACACTTAATAGCTTTAAAGAAGTTTAAAGCGTGTAGTAACAGGAAGAAGGTAAAGAAGCAGGTGTAAGCTAAAGTAGGTAAGCTATCCTAAAAGCGCTGCAGATAGTGTAATTAGACTAGGCATAACACACAAACATGTAAGTAAGAAGTAGAAGTAGTATCTAAATAATATTCTAGGCTGTACTGTACTATATAGTGCTAGAGCGGGTTGTTATAGGCTATAATAGAGTTTGTTAGGGTAGGGTCTTGGCAAAAGTAAGCGACTCGGGTGTGTGAGCAACTCGCCTATAAAGTACGTTATAGGGTAATTAAGTTTTAACAGAATTCTAGATATATTAACAAATTCTTCCTAGGAACATTGTTAGTAGGTTAAAGCCTTAAGTTTATATAGAGATACTGTTCTTAGCGCTTTTTTTTAGAGTAATAGGACAACAATAGGCCTAATTAGAGGGCCAGAGCAGCCCTAGCCCCCTAGAGAGCAACCTACCAGCCTATTCTACGCGGGCAAGGGCGCAGGGCCTGTTGGAGAAGCCTAAGGAGCCTGCTAGTAGTGATAAACAGAAGCTAGCGCGTTGTTAGTTAATCTAGTAATAGGAGCAAGTAGGAGAAGCTTACTGTATCCTAGCGCCTACAAAGAGCAAGCCTCCCTTTAAGAAAGTAGTAAAAGCTACTAAAAAATCTGCTCCTCCTGCTCTAGCACAGCAAGAAGCTGTTTCTGTGGTTCCTGTCCGTTGTCCCGAGCCCAATACGCTGGAGATGCTATGGGCGCGATACATTGTGACCTAACGCGCTGTTACTCTTAAAAAGGTTAGTATACGCGCTCCTCTATGCAAACTAAAAGCTTTAACTCACCTAGGGCAGTTCTATTAGGTTTTTATTAATATATAGTGGATCCTGTTAAAATTTCGATCTCACATACAATTTTAGTGGGGGGAAAAAATTCCGGATGGCAGTGCCAAGAAATGCCCCGATTTTTGCATATAATAGAGTAACAGTAGGAACAGTACTACGTTCTATTAAACACCATGGCAGCATCCCGGGAACGAAGCGCATTATCTGTTACTTGTATCATTACCTTTTAACCTCATCTTCCTCTTAATATCTTTTCTCCCTTTTCGAGTTCCTTTTCTTGCCATCCCCTTCAATTTGCTTTTCTCGGTTCAAACTAGCCGTTCCCGAAGCCACATAGGCAGCACGGAACTTCCCGATCGCGCCACTCCACAACATCTCAGCTGCCAAGGGTCTTGCTATTTCAATACCAACCGTCTCAGCCACGATTTCCTCGATCGTTTAACAAGTGGTTCTCCGCTATCTAAATCACGCTGGATGCCTGAACAAAGCGAACGATGTCCAGGCAATGTGTCACATGATTGTAGTTTTACTTTTTCCCATGCGCGAGCGCCTTGAGATATAAAGCCGGTACGGTAGAGAATGGGAAAGAGCTGACAGAAGTTTCTCCAGAATTGCCCGCAAGATAAGAATTAGCACCATGGATGCGACCCAGAACTCCATCACCATGGCCAATGGATCTGCTAATGCCCAAGTTGAGAATTTCGATATCGACAGGTTCCTTGATGTAGAAGGAGCGACGTTAGACACCTTCGGCGCTTTCGAGAACATGATTGCAGAAAGCAATACTGCTGCTGAAAGGACCGTTGCGCGTCGAGTGAGCAGTATATTCGATGCCCCAACGCCAGGAGCAATCAACGAATCCTATGTAGCAGCACTCAGTGCACCTACCCCAGGAGCATATGATGCACCTACTCCAGGAGCATATGATGCGCCTACCCCAGAAGCATATGATACGCCTACTCCCAAAGTGTACGGGCTCTACCGTGCGTGTATTCCCCACGCCCAATATGAAGAAGAAGATTGAACTGAAAAACAGCATATCAAGGCGGCTTTCCGGCCCCACCCCCCTACGATATCGGCAACGATCCAACATATAGCCGAGTCCCTCTCACTTCATTCCCCTTCACTGACCTCCCTCTAATCCCACGAATCACGGTCCTAGAATGGTATCTCGAGGTCTGCGGGACCGAGGGCTCTCTTTCCCATTGTGACTGTACGAAAGTGTCCGAGGGGCGCTGGACGGATCCACACCTGAGTCCAGAAGACTTGTGCTATAACCTACACCAGGAGTTTGGATACCATGCAAAATTCCTGCCGTTGTTGATGACGAGCCAGCAAATGCACGCGGAATTTCGCCCGAGACGTTATGCCTGGGGTACGTTCACGATCATTCCCACAAACTCGATCCGCGAACCAGATCTAAGAAATCAGACAACGCGAGCGCGATACTGTCAACACTTGAATTATGAACCGAAGTTAGATGGGTGGCCGACAATCAGCCATATCACGCCGTATCCGGAGAATGCGAAAAGGCGGCGGAAAGACGCCGTCAAGGCGCCTTTGTTGTCATTTAAGAGGATCGATGTTGGGATCTGGAGTGAGATTCGGGAGATCAAGTTAGACCTGGAGTTCTCTTATTACAATGATTGGAAGAAAGTCCGACGCGAGCTAGCCTTCCTGGCACGTATGCTCAAGAAACGGGTCTTCCCGCTCCGCACGCTTTATCTGACTATGACGTGGGAGATAGCGGGAGATACTGGGGTCAGGGATATCAAGAAATACAACGAAAAAACTTCTTTTGACGATAATTGGAGGGATATTGTGGAGCCATTGAAGAAGATGACATGGACAGAGAATGTTGCAAGACGAGTGCAGTTCCACGTAAAGGAGAAGGGTCGTTGGAGTAGCGGATCTCGCGGGTATAGAAGTGAAAGTGTGGAGCAGTTCTTAAAAGGAATGACTGCGGCGAGCGAAGAAGGGAGGTTGGACGTTGTAGAGAATGGTCTATTAAGATATCATTGAGATGGTTGGAATATTGGCGGATACTGGGGGATATTGAAGGGAAATTAATATTGGACTTGCTACTGGAATGGACGAGAGGATCAAGGGAAATAAGGTGTTTGCTCTGGGCCAGGTGAGACTAGGATGTGGGTATCTTGTTTTCCTTCAATATTGACTGTACGATGGCATTTTTACGCAACAACATTCTTTAGTCTCATTTATTGGCTCAGAATCCTTACCGCATAGCGATGCCTACGACCAATCACCGAGGATCTGATTTATCAATCCAGCTACTACATAGCAGTCGAACTCTCGAGTTCTACCCCGGAGAGCACAGTTCGGTCATGGCGTGGACATGGGGCGCATCTTAGGTAGCAAGGTTATTGAATCTCTATATGCTCAACTTTGACGAATTAGAAGCGCAGAAATTTGAGAATTAGACTCCGGACAAGTCGGGATGCGTACAACGGTGACGCCCAACCATGAGCATTTTATATGAAGCTACATTTTCCTTACAAGTGCACATCGCCAATATATTATTGTTAGCATCGAAGGTAACTAAGGCAGGGATGGCCTCAAGAATTAGCGAAGGGAAAGAAAACAAGACAGACGAGATGTCGAAGTCTTGAAGCGCGTCGATGCCTCTGGTTCAGTTTCTATCCCAACCTGTCAGCGCGTACTACGGAAATTAATAGAGAGAACTAGGTCTGTCACATCTGTTGCTAGAATTGGGAACAGCCCCAAAAAGATACAGGCTTCTATCTTGAATGAGGCTCCTAAATACGGGTGGTAGGAGGTGAAGTCGGGAGAAGCTCTGAAGGCGTTAAGCTAAATTTTGGGGCCTCGGCACGGTTGCACCCCACGTCGTTACGAAGTACCTCAACACTTTGACTTTTCGTCGTCACTTATCTTAGCTTATACCTCAAGACAATTGTGAACGCCCTCTTCAATAAATGGCCGACAGGAGGTGCGGTGAGCTCTGCTTTCATAGCACGCTGATAGCACCGGCGCCGTGAACCGGCCCTTGAGTACCCAGGCCAGTCCGAAGCTATGGAAAGAAGTCATATCGTACAGAGATAAGGACTACGATCGACGACCATACGATAGAGAAGTGATCTGTACACAACTCCCCTTGTATCTCAAAGGGAGTGGACAATGTTGTGGAAGTAAGGAACTTTGCCGCAATTTCGGCGGAAGGCATACCCGATTTGGGCCGGAAAGCAACAGCCACATTTCATTCCTCAGATGTGTCTCGACACTCCATCCACCATCTAGTTTCGTTCCCCGCAGGACCATGTACAGTTGATTGATCCATCTGCCTTACGCGCATGCATTCATATTACTGAAGCTTGCTTCTGCCGTTCCTTTGCCCCGCGTTCACGGTCCTGGAGCGACTTTTAAGCTAGAACCCAGCCACCATGTTCATCCTAACACCCATGCCCCGGATTTCAATCAACCGCAATAGCGAAATTTTCTGCCTCGTCAATTTCAAACTGATCTCATGGAATATCAGCAGAGAGAAAGATCGGACGCGACATACCCGCCTACCAAACCGTTTTATATTCAGCCTCATTAACCTAAATTACAATGCTCAGATGCCGGGGCCACAATTTGGCTACAAATCCCCTCTTTGTAATTGAGCGATCTGCACTAGTTTTAAACCCACGTGAATACGACAACGGATATGGATCCATTACCGGGATGTGGCCCCGCACCGAAAGCCAGGGCCTTCCCGCGTGAGATAACAGCTGGTTACAACTTATCGATGCTGGGGCTTTGCATAAGATAACCGGTTACCCTGCAGAAAAGTTTCGGATGGTGTGAAACTTTGCTCACCTCTCGGCCTCTCTCGCAACACATCTCGTCGACTTGTTGCCACTATGGCGGCCGATCGTAAGGATATGGAAGCTCCTGTCGAGGTTCGCAAATTGTCAACGCAGGAAGATGCGGAAGTGGTCCGCGAAGCTATTGAGACTGAGCACAAGCTCACCTTCATGGATGCCGTGAGGCTCTATCCTAAGGCAATTGGGTGGTCGATGTACTTCAGTCTGGGCGTCATTATGTTGTGTACGTCGTTCACCCCCGCATGTCGCGTGCCCCTCTTTGAGATGGGTTGCTGACGCCTAGATACAGCGTTCGATCCTCAGCTGCTTGGAAACCTCTACGCCATGCCAGCCTTCCAGAAAGATTTTGGATACAAATTCGAAGATGGGTATCTCATTTCCGCCGCCTGGCAGACCGGTCTGAGCATGGGAAACCCTATTGGCCAAGTCGTCGGCGCTCTATTTGCCGCATATCCCATGGAATGGTATGGCAGGAAGAGGACCTTCAATGTCTGTGTCATTTTGGTTGCCGGCCTCATCTTTATCCAGTTCTTTGCACGATCGCTCAAGGTCCTTCTTGTCGGGGAGCTCATTGGAGGCTTAGTCCTGGGGGCCTTCGTGGTCATCGCACCAGCATATGCCTCTGAAGTCACGCCGTTAACAATGCGAAGCGTCGCTACATCCTACGTCAATCTATGCTTTGTCACGGGTCAGTTACTAGGAAATGGTGTCACAGCTGCGACCAAGGATCTTGATAATCACTGGGCCTATTCTATTCCATTCGCGCTACAATGGTTCTGGGTACTCATCATTCTTCCTGGTATGTTTTTCGCTCCAGAGAGCCCATGGTGGCTCGCTCGCCAAGGCCGTTTTGATGACGCCGAGCGCTCTCTCCGTCGACTGTCTAACAGGAAAGTCAACGTCAAAGCGGTTCTAGCCCAGATCATAGAGACCGACAAGCTGGAGACCGAGATGGAAGCCGGAAGCACATATCTCGACTGCTTCCGGAGAATCAACTGGCGCCGCACCGAAGTCGCTATCGGGGTTTACGCAACCCAAGTGCTTTGCGGTATCTACCTCATCAACTACGGCACATACTTCTTCAACTTGGCGGGCCTGAACACCCAACAAGCATACAACATGGGCATTGGATTCATGGCTGTGGGCTGGGTTAGCACGTGTCTTTCGTGGTGGTTGATGGCGAAATTCGGGAGAAGGCCGTTGTATAACACCGGGCTCGCACTCTTAACTATCATCATGTTCTTAGTGGGTATTCTAGATGTGGTGCCCACCCATGGTGCGCTTTGGGCCCAATCTGCGCTGTAAGCCTACCATAGTATCCGACACCCGCACGAGCTAATAATTAGTAGATTGCTAGTATGGAACTTCACATTTGACTGGAGGTAAGCTTACCACTCTCATCAACCCGCAGCTCCCTTACTCACATCTTCAGCGTTGGACCCGTCGCCTATGCCATTTTCTGTGAAGTCAGCGCCACTCGCGTCCGCTCGAAAACAATCGCCGTTGCGACCGCGGTCCAAGCCATGGTTGGCATTGTCATGACCGTTGCCATCCCCTATCTCATTAATCCCGACGAAGCCAATCTCCGCGGCAAACTTGGGTTCTTCTTTGGAGGCCTTTCGCTTCCTTGTCTGGTCTGGTGCTATTTCCGTGTACCGGAGATGAAAGGACGGACGTATGAGGAGCTAGATATTATGTTTGAGCGGAATGTGCCGACGAGGGAGTTTGGGAAATATAAGATCTAAAGGGAGAAGGGGAAAGTCAGGCTTGGGAACCATGGAGAAGTGTGAGACCAGGTTTCTGCTCCCTATGGTGGATTGAATTGGTATTTTGGATATCTATTAAGATCAATATCCTCTGTTGATTCAAGATCGATTTTAGAGTGTCATTATCGCCCTTTGTCTTTCTTCAGGTCTCCGCTCTTTCCTCTCATAGCGCAGCTCCCCTCCATTCACCACCAAGATATTCTACACCGCTTCATATGGAATATCTAGATTGCATAAGTGCGGTTAGTACTTGAGAGCTGGTCGGGGTTTCCTTGCTTCCTCAGCCATCTTCCTAGTATTTTGATCCTTGCTACAGCCGCACTTGAGCTTTCTTCCGTCATTTCTTCGACCTCCCACCTCCTACCCCTCCTCATTCATTCAACCGTCCTTCCACGGCCATTCCTGATCACGGTTGTCTTCTTCAGGACGATATCCGTAGATTCTCTTCATAAGATAGAAAGGTATGTGGCCTCTTTGAAGTCCCTTCCGAAATTTAGGATTTGATTGATAGCCTATGGGCTAATCCTATGGAGTGAGCTAGATCTACTTGGCCGTTAAAAGAACCCAACACGCCACCAACTCAATGCCAACCATAATTGCCTGACATCTCAGTCTTCAGTCCACGAACCCCAAAATTGCCCTAGTTCTTGTACTAGGTTCAGAAGCCTAAAATACGTCGAAATGTCTGTCGAAGTGCAACAAGAGATATTAAACGACGCCAAACCAAAAAGGATATCGCAGTCAAGTTCTACCAACTCAACAATCCTCGTCGTCAACCATACTTTGATAACATCGAAAATTGCACGAAAATAATCCCTTTCATGGAAGAGCGCCTCGAGGAGATCGTCAGACAAGGGGACATCCATGAAATTGCTGTTCGAGGTTGAGCTTGGACTCGACCTGCCACCACTCTTACGAGATGTGGACCCACACGCTAATGCGTTCGAGTCAGCCTATGAAGAGATCCATAGATCGAGGCTAGAGTATGGCCAAAAGCTGATCACGATGATGAATGAGGTCGAGAATCCCGTTATTCTATCAATCGCTGATCAATAATCAAGGGACCTGGAGCTATAGGGTCTAATCAGGAGTTGTAGATAGCTAGATTAAAGGTAGATATCGGCGGCTCTAAGAACTATTGCTATAACTATGATGGGGGACCCAAGGTTTACGCCTGTAGTTCTATCGGAGGTCACTGCTTGGCTCAGTGTCACATCCTGGCCTACATTACTCCTTTCGCCACCCACTCCTTGCATCTTAGATATTATCTCCAATTGCTTAAAAGCTATGTCCATTTGGGAAGTCGTTCACCTTAATACGAATTTAACATGATCATGAATTTCAAGTCTCTCTCTTAAATTTCTAGTAAACAGTGTCTCTATCACGTCTTCTCTCCCTATTATTGCTTTCAACTTAAGTTGCTAGAGCTCAGTGGATAAATTTAGCTGTACTACTTTGATATCGTGCAGGATTTACTATCATCATGTTGTACTTTCGGGCGAGATCTATGTTCATATCACTGGGATATATCACTTTATTCTCTGCGGTTATTCGCGGGTAGCATCAAACAAAGTCCGCCTCCCTATTCACCCAACAACTCATCCACGCTAGCCGAGTGCCGGCTGTATATATAACTACCATACTCCCGCATCGTAACTCGTCTAGTCAAAAAACACCGCCAACCCCACTTCTCGAAGCAAAGAACAAGGCGGCTCAAATTACTATGTCTACAAGGTCAGATACCGTCACCCAGCGCGGGGTGCCTTCCGAGCTAGTTGAAACATCCCTAACCCACTTCCTAGACATGGAGAAAGAAGCGCGATTTGCACAATACTCCAATCAGATGTGGGAAACCAACGAAGAAGAATGTGACAGGATTTGCGAAGGAGATGAATGAGAAGATTGGGCGGAATATCGATCCGTGCGACCCGGTCTTTGAGCTACCGGAAGAATGACTCTTCGATGTAACTCGCAAGTCTCTATATTGCGGGAACTGGCGAAACTTCTGGAATCTAGACGTCTTGACAGGGGCTAGAACCCCTAATTTGTTCTCTTGAACTATACAGCGCTTATTTCTCTTAGGTTCCCAAATATGACTTCATCTATAGATTCGTCACCATGGTCTTTACAATTTAGTTCTCATGGCTGGTATTCTGGCTGTGTGAGCAGACCGCCATTATCGGAAGGGTTTACTTAATCTACATGGGAAGCAGCTAAATCAAATATCTCCTTCAATGTTCCTCTTATTCTTGGTCGTTTTCACTTCACCTCTAGCTCCCCACAATTCCCTCTCATTGTTTCGACTATTTGAATCACTAGCGGCGGAAGACTAATCAGTCACACCCGCACTGAAGCCGCTGAATACGAAGCCTGTCTCTAAGAATTGGAAGGTGTCATTTCGCGGGAACATTTGAGGTGGTATACGCTAAACTCAGTACTTTTTGAGCTTCGAACAATTCACGCCCGCGCATCCTCCATTTCTACTGATGGCAAAGGACAAATTCACCCACTGGAGACTCTTAAATTTGTTCAAAGCGACGATATAAGACTTCTCCGCCAAGAAATATAGATCACTTCTCAGGTCTGGACGTTGCCGTTTAGCACCCTTCTGCGGCGGCAACATGGGGGCACTTTTATCATGTACCAGCAACAGACCGGGTTCAACAAACCCTGGGTCATTGTACCTCATGCACACGGGAAGCGAGAGGTTGCGAATGCCGAAGTAATTGCGAATAAAACGCTACGTAATGCGGCCCAGTTACAATTCTGGCAGGAGACGTTTAATGCGAAAAATCCAGCCAAGTCCCGATTAAATCATCGCCTCGACCTACTGAAGGAAGATACTCGATCGCTCTTGAAAGGACTCGTGGAATTGGAACAAGAGCTTGCAAAGCCGCTCGAGGACGTGACGTAGATCGAATAAATCAGATCACGTCTTCCTTCGACGATCCCCGAGAGTGAGTTGAGGATAAGCAATAGTCTCTCACCTCAAGGCCATTCCCACCGTATGAAAAACGTGTCAACGATTATAATTGGCTACGGCGATGATGAGAGACAGACGATGGCGACTCTTATAGAGAATATCGACCAGATCATCTCTCAGGTCTCTGGGGTCTCGTCCTGACTCCCTGAAGCCGTTTTGCAGCTCGTGGACGCTCATTTTCGCTAATTTCATTCGCTAGATTCTGCAGTTCTAGCTACCTCTAGGGATTTCTTCACTTCAGAGCGTTTCCCCCCCGTTTCATTCACTTGATATTTGATAGCTCTAGCTCGACTTTTTCGCCTTTCTCCCTCAAGGCTTCGTGCATTCAGTTTTGGTGGGCCTTTTTTGTGATTCCGGTGATAAGCCGCCATATCTGTCTTTCGTTTGTGCTTACCGCTGGTATATTATACATAATGAACCGTATCTGCCAGGCAGTTCCTACGAAAACTAGGGGCTTTCAAACCCTTTTCGTCGTTCTACATATCGGGAATGATTTCTGCTTCCACCTGCAATTCTATAAGCTTTAAAATTCTTAGAAGTTAAAAGGGACGAACTTTTGCTCTGGCTTCACAAAATTCCCCCTCCGCCTGTGTTGCGCACGTGTTGCGCACTAAAACAAATGGCTAATCACATCTCTTTCAAGTTTTACCTTAGGAGTGTGCCAGCAGTGGCTACTCCAATGTATTGGCTTGCGTTTTAACCTGGTTGCGCTGCCTCTCCTTCTCCCAGGGTTGGCTTCTCCTTTTCTCTCATGCACTTTCTTGCCCTCCCACTCAGACGACCTATTTAACCACTCGCTGTTTCATACACAGCGGTCTCTCCCTAGCTCGAGGACCCTGCATCTCAATGGTGACCGCTCCTTCCCCGGGTTGAAGGTCACGTCATCCCACCTCCGCTCACCCACGCCACCTCTCTGTCTCCAACTTCTTCGTCAACGCCGGGCAGTATGTTACCCCTTATCTACCTGGTTTTGCCTATGAGTATTGCTGAACATCCTGGAAGGAATTCCCCGTCATATTTTCTTTAACCTAGCAAGATACTTCAACCTTCAACCAACTGAAGCAATCCGCCAAACAAGATGCCTGTTCCCAAATACCACAGCGGGCTCACGATACGAAGGGATATTAACGAGCCAAGCAGCCTGCATACCCATCACCTAGCCGGTGCTATGCTTGAGATCACGATGCGGAACAGCCAACCCATCCTTGCCCATTTGCTCGAAATTGGCAACATCATGTCCAGTGAAGTCAACACGAGGAAGCAAAGACTGAGGGACCTCCAGCTAAAGTGCGACGTTGAGAGAGTGGTGGTTGTAGGAGAGGAGTGCACCAAGCAGTACCTCCAGTGGTACATAGACGTTGAAATCGGACTGCAAACCTGCTTTCAGCGTTTCGTTGGTATCTCTGCGAGGGAATTGAGCGAATCAATCAAGCTGACGCTTGTATACTTGACGAGGGCTTTAAATGAGGCAAGAGAGCAACTTGACGTGTTCAATAGGACGCTAGAAGTCATCGACTTGGAGTTGAGGCAGGCTCAAACGGTCGTACAGGATTCCAACAGGCCTGATCGACACCAGCACTTCCTCCGAAAATTTATCTTCTCGATCTTTCACTAGCCTACGTGTTTCGAAGGTTCATAATGGGGAGTCCAACCTCCTTACCACCTTATTACCACCTTCTTCAGTCTCACGGATTACGAATAACGCTCCGACCTATTCAGGAGCCACACCGCCTCGAGGTACGGGGAGGCGGCCTTGGTTCTGACTGTGAGTAAATCGCGCTCTACTATTCACCTGTTCTGATTGTAGTAGATATATACTATACATGACCACTAATTTGGAAGGTTCATGTCGAGTAGGTTGCATGCAGTTCAACAACGGTGTCGTAATCTCCGGCAGTCTAGCCTTCGATGACATACTCAAATTAGTGTGTCGTTCATGTTCGGTACAGCTACCTGGAAATTTGTTTCCAGATGGGTGTGCCATTTCTAATCATCCAAGTCGCTCGAGCAGTTCACGCATGCACTCATTGATGTGGGAAGGGACCTTCGGCGGGTGCGGTGTGTAGAGTGTTGGGAATATCATCAGAGAAGGCTTCTTAGGGGTAAATAATGCCAAGGAAAATGAAGCTGAGATGTGGTCGAGAGCGTGAATGGAAGTTGTACGTCGAGGACACTGACGAAAAGAAGCGTAAAAACTTTGCCGATTTCGGAAATTCTCGCACGTGATCGGGCGCTACGTGACCCAAGCTCGTCCATCTTCGATCTCGAAACTCTAATCAACCAACAATCTCATCTCCACAAAACACCAACAATTATGATGTCGCCTATACGATGGCGAACAGCCATCCGGCATTTCAATGTCCCCAAACGCCAATTGTTGTCGTCCCCCCAGCAAGTGTTCTTTCGTCAAAAGCACACGTTTCCACGACCAACACCGCCAGCCTTGAACAGACGCGTCTCTCTTCAACCTCCATTGCATCTCCAATCACGTGTTCCCACCAAAACACTCCTCACGCTCCTCGTGCTCGGTGGTATAGCCTACTACTTCATAGATGTTATCGAAGTTCTCGATGATCACTGGACCCATCATGTACCTCGCACCGAGCCGACGTCTATGCCCGTGCAATTCTACCAAAACAGGGAACAGGTCCAACACTGGCTTGATGCGCACGTACCGGATTTCGTGGCTACCGCGAAGAACCCCGAGCTTCAGGACGTGGCACGGAGTGTGTTTGCGAGCCAGATTGCCAGTGGGTGGATGATGACGGAAGAGGAGGCTGAAGAGGCCCAGATGCCGGTTACGCATGGGGCTAGGGTTATGAGTAATTCACCTTGCGTAAGTTTGAAGTTGCCTGAATTTGTTTTCACTGAATTCTAATCCATTTTGGCCTACCTGCTGCTGCTATCCCTGGAATTGCGGCTGGACTATGGCACAGCCTCTAACGAAGCAGTTCTAACACCTCAGCCATAGGAAGACGAATTTGTCATCAGCGCTGCCCCTGGACCAGGATCTGAACAGTGGAACTTCTGGGGCGTCTTCGACGGCCATGCGTAGGTTATGTCCCCCTCCCGTTTGGCATCTCATACTAATTTGAGATGGCAGTGGTCGTGCTACTTCGGAGTGGCTCCAATGGACTTTGGTGCCTCATGTATCGAGGGATTTGAGTGCCCTCCAAGCATCTAGTTCCCCGATGGCCATCACGAATGCTATTATGCAGGCTTTTACGAGATTGGATTCAGATATGATGTAAGACACATTCCGGGACATCTTCGTTCCTTTTATTTCGCCAACTCTTTCTGAATATTATTCCCGTCCCTCAATTTTTATGCTGGCTCTGTACCGTTAGCTATTTCCTTGATTTCGATCTTAGAAAATACGACTTGCCCGCTATTTTTCTTCATTCTTATATTCGACACCCTTCCAGGTCACCGTCATCTCAACATCCTACTCTCCAACCTCTCTTTTTTAGATCCTCCAGACCTACTCTCTTTCACACCTAACCCTCCCACTAAATTCCCCCTCTAGGACCCGAGCCAAACACGCCGCATCTTGGTACCCCGCGGCCTCCGCCGTTGCTATCTCCGCCCTCAATCCCGCGCTCTCAGGATCCTGTGCCCTACTTGCCTGCTTCGACCCCCGCGCCTCAAAACTCCGTGTCGCCTGTGTCGGCGACTCCCGCGCCGTTCTCGGCCGCTGGGATTCATCTACTCAATCCTATACTTGCATCCCGCTGTCCGTCGACCAAACCGGCTTTAACGAATCTGAAGTAAGAAAGTTGAATGAGGAACATCCAGATGAGCCGGAGATCATCGATCCGAAGTCTGGGAGATTGCTGGGCATTGCGGTGACTCGGGCTTTTGGCGATCATCGCTGGAAGTGGGATAATGAGCTCATCGCTTCGATTCGTGCGAAGTTCTGGGGAAGTCATCCACGTCCTGGGTCGAAAACTCCACCATATATGACTGCCGAACCTGTTATTACGGAAACGGACATTATCCGCGGCCGAGCTGAAGAAGGAGATGAAGACACAAAACCTGACTTCATGATCATGGCCTCCGACGGCCTCTGGGACAAAATCTCCTCCACCGACGCCGTGGACCTAATATCCCGCTACATCACCGCCCGCACCAACGGGTCCATCCAACCACTACCCTCCTTCTCGTCCACCTCGTCACCGCTTACCCCCCGCTCCCACTCCCCCACCACCCCCTGTCCCCCAACCATCGACCCTCTCGCCTCCCCATCCCGCGCGCATTCCGCATCTCTGATGACGGAAGACCCAGGACTGACATACAACATCGCGGAAGACCAACCTGTTGGATGGCGCGCCGAACCGCAGTATTTCGCGATTGAAGATGAAAATGCAGCGGTTTGTTTGATTAAGAATGCGTTGGGCGGGAGCAGGAAGGGACTATTTATGGGGGTTTTGAGTGTGGAAGCCCCGCGAAGGAGGGCGGTTTATGATGACACTACTGTCATTGTGGTGTTTTTTAATCAGGTTGGAGATGGGAAAGGGAAAGATGGAGTGAAGACAGGCGCGAAGGGAGGAAGGTGGTGGAAATTTTGGGGAGGAGGGGAGGTCGGTGGAAGTTTTGGTAAGGGGGGATAACTACGATGATAGTGGGGGATTATGAAGTACTTACTCCCAAGAAGCCCAGGGAGTCTATGCCGCATGAAGACCGGTGTCTCCAGCGAGCTAAAACAAGGAATTTCGGGCTTCAGTAAAGGCATATCTTCATGTTGGCGTTGACGGGACGGCCTCTTCGACAAACTAACTTAACTATCTACCTCAAATCTCAAAAATACGTTCCTCGACCCCACGCTTTTCTCACTGCAGCTCCAGCCATGCTTCCGCCAGGATTCTTACATTTTGCCGTACTACACACGTCTATTTTCGTTCCCATCGGCCTTCTCTCTCTCTCTCTATTGATTCTATATGCAAGTAGCCAAACAAGCATATCTATATCTATATATATTGCTTATAGAAACTCGACCTCATGATTTGATACCCCAAGCACAAAGTCGGAATCAGAAGCGCGCATTCTATCTATATCGTCGTATTAAGACTAATCCTACGCAACTCAAACCCCAACTAGCCACTTATATTATATCTGTAAAGCCCAGCACAATCACAATTCTCTCCACGGAACAGAGTCCCATTCAATCACCAAGCGAATTATTTATTCACGGGTGGAAAGGATGGGGGGTATTGTGTCTCAGGTTCATCAGAAAGAAAGGCTTGAGAAACTTACCCCGTTGTAGTTGCACCGGGACAGGTAGGGAAAGCTGGAGGGTGGCTGCGATGTGATTGGTGGGGAACGTGGGAGATGGATGTCGTCGGCGTGAGGCTGGAGATACGAAGTGCATGGTATGCTACATAGTTCATGTGTGTACACACATGTGGATACAAATGTGACGCGCTCTGCTCTTGCTCTTGCCACCTCTGAGACGACCCTGACTTCGAGGGTGCCTTCACATCCCAGCCCCGTCCCATGCGGCCATCCCTGGAGGTGAAATATCTAAATAAGAAATCATGGTAGATGACAGAGAGACGGATAGTAAAGAGAGAAGCGAAACCTGCATCCCACTCCGGCTCCAGAAAGCCGAAAACGCCAGCTCCGAGCCCCCGAGTCCATGGAATAAATGCAAACACGCCCAACCCCCGTCTGTCTGAGTGCAGCCACACCAGATATATCTCTTGAAGAAGCAGGCCATCACCAACACTATCATTCCACACCAAGGAATAAAGAATATAGCACTTCCCATTCCATTCCATTGGCTTGAATGCAGTGACTCTGATCTGAACTCTGATCTGAACTACCTACCCCACCCCCACCCCCGCATCTGCGAGACTTATCCCAGGGTCCGGCTCGCTACTGCAAGAAATCCCTCTTAACATTAATAAACGCGCCGGGCCCGCCATCTTCCGCTAATTCTCCGACCAAAGCTTCCGCCTGCTGACATAACCGTTCTAGAGCTGCTGAACTAGATTTTCCTAAAGAAACTACGTCACAAGTTAGCAGTGGTTCGAAAAACCCCACCCACACACAGAGGCAGAAACATAACAGAGGCCAAGGGAAAGCCATGCTACCACTACCACGGGAGAAGAAGTTTTACGTACCCAAGATCGCCCCATTCAACTCCTCAGAAACCGGCACCCTACCTCCCTTCTCCAACAACGGGGCTAATGCACTACGTTCCACATTCTCGTATGCAATTAGCGCGAACGTGTCTTCGAGAGCTTTCTTTACTTCACGCCGCGGGTCCGAGGCAAATTCTTGTTTTAGCTCCATGCCGTATTTGATAGTTTCGTCGGTGAGGTGGGAGAGCTTCGTTTGTGTGTTGGAGATGTCCGTGTCCGTGTCTAGCATGGGGGTGTTGAGGTTGTTGGACCATGACGATGGAATATTGCTGGTCCCGTTATTCGTAGTATTGTTGGTGGAGGAGGAGTTGTTATGCACGCCAATGCCAAGCTGTTCATCAAGTTCCATTTCAAAATCATATTCATCTGTCGCCACACTCGTTCTCTTTGCTCCATTCGACGCATTCGACTGGACTAGAGGCTGGTATTGTGCGCTGAGTTCGTTGCAACGTCTGATCATTTCGATAAATTTCCGACACCGCAGTTTGAAGTAGATGTTCTCGTTGTTGTGCAGGACAGACGGGTAATAGGCTTGTGTGTGCTTGAGTGCTTTGTCAATGTCGCCGTCGAGGATGGCTGCGCGGATTCCTGGAACCAAGTATACATTAATATTAAC